CGATTCTCCCGCCGGTTGACTTCAAAGGTTCCTCCTGCTTTACATAAATATTTATGCGAGTTAATTTGTCGGCATATATGCCAGGGGTGGTCGAAGGGCCCTGGTTAAGGGGCAGACGGGACGGGAGGCAAGAGGTCAGTTGGGTGCAATCAATCAGACAAAAGGCAATATTTACAATTTGAAAGCTACGTATGAAAGGAATTAATACGACTCGGTTGACGTCAGGCTGTGCAGCTGAGGGGTCCCCGCGTCTGTCCGTGATACCCGCAGGTAAACAAACAAATAAGGACGAGGTCCTTCGAACTGCTGTCGTTCTCCCCCCTCTTGGCACCATTCCGTCCTGTCGTTGACAGCCGCCGTATACACACTCACTCACTCGGACGCTCTGATAGGCACGAAACCCGTCACTTACATGTCGGCATAAGTATGCGTGTGCCCGCCATTCTGACTAAAAATAAACAATAGTCAAAAGCAGCAACAAATTACAAAAAACAATAAAGGAAGTTTGGCTAAGCCGAAGTTTGTATACCTTTGCAGAAAAGTGGTGTATGTGTATAAAGAACTATGTTATATCATATTCTTTGAAGGAGTTTTCAAAAATAAGATTTATATCACTATTTTCGTATTCATTTTCCTAATATAGTGGTTCGATCGAAACCTTTCCGACATATATAGGGGAGAGTGGGGATAGGGGATAGATTAACCACTACACTAAATTTGGAAAGCAAATAAACTTTACAAAACAAAAGATAGTATTTTTGCATAATACTTAATATTCCAAGGAATGTGGGCTCTTTTAGATTTCTATATACAGCAGACCCTTACGTCGAATTGTTTAGACATAATAATGTTAATAAAAAAAGTGGTTCACCTATCCCAACTCTCCCCTACTATCTGTAACCAGTCTATTATTACCAGTCTATTTTAATAGTTTCATCCAGATGATGGAATATATCGACGCGGCTGTTAATCCCGAGAAGAATATATAAACTTTAAAATAATAATAACCTGCAAGGGTATAGCAAGTGGACATAAAAGTAAGTAAGTAAGTTTCTGTCTGGTCTGGATACAACGGGGCTCTAGTACTCTTACAATGGTCATAGGGAAATGCAGACGAATGATATAGCTGAAATTTTGTAATATTTATATAATTTTCATTCATATAATATATAAACAAAACTATAAAAACACTAAATAATTCACACTCCAAGTAAAAAGACCTTGGCATTCTCAAATCAATCAATAGTATTTGTACATTTTCCTCTAAGAGTACTTAAGCCCCTGCCTGTGTATTGAATGCACTTTAAATTATATTAAATATTATTTCCTTAACGGTCATGCAATTCGTTGAGTGTGTGTTTGGGATTGGCGGCCAAAAGGATCCAACGGTCCGTGTGATTGACATATTTGTTTAACTTGTATTAGTAAAGTCAGTAAAGTCCACGAACAGGGGCAATCAAATCACAAAGGGAAAGAAAATAGGGTGAAGGGGTCGGATGTAAGGGGCACACGCAGGCTATCCTAAAGCAACACACTTAATGTACATATACTGGACGTTAACCCTTCGAGTTGGGCATTATATGGAGTGGGTAAAAAGGGTAAGCAAAGCTTTAAAGTAAATATTCTATGATATTCGTCGGCAGCCGTTGGTAATTAAATTATTTTAACTATATCTAATAATAAATCAAGAAACATTTATACTTACGTTTGCCGAGAAAATGGAAAATCAAATTTGGGAGTATCAAACTCCTTCATTAGTTTAATTATTTCGAAAAATGTCCATCTATTTGCACAACTAAATGTCTGTGATTGCATCGTATGATCTTGGTGATTGGGCAGAGGACTGGGAAATCTGTGACACACTCTATTCGCCAGAGATTTGCTTTGTGGGCTGACTGTGGCTTGGGCAGCGTAATCTCCTTACAGGAGCCGGGGAAAAAGCTCAGTTGTTGCACATTCTATGAATGCAAAAGAGGGTCTGTCTCTAGCCTCGAGTGTATGTATGTGAGCATTTTGGTATTTATCAGATTTATGTCAAGCTTAATGTGTGCAATGATTATTCATTTAAATGTATACACATGCAGCCATCAGCAGCTCCAGTCCGACCTCTGTCGGCCTGTCTGAATCACTCGCCAAGTAAATCGATTTCATAGCCAGTTGTCAGAAATAGGAGTCTGATGGATTGCTCCAATTGTCATCATGCAGAGGGGCCGAAGGGATGCCTTTCTCTGGAAAATTGAGCTGTTACATGTTGTCTGGCGTCCATGTAACTTGTCTAAAAATACTCCAAGGGAAAATCATACAGAATAACATTCTTTTCGCAATCTTCCCTAACAAGCTGCAATTCACGGCCCGGCAATCGTGTAATGTAGCGAGGCATCAACACAAACACAACGGCGAGAGATAGTGGGGGTGGTGGAACTGCTGCTGATTGCACAAAGGATGCCCCTCAAGTCCTTGGTGACGTGTTGAACGAAAGAATGAAACCTGCGCCCGGCAGTTCGGTGAAAGAGCCACTGCAACCGACCTGGGAGCCTGCAAATGGTGGATGATAAATTGTGGTGCGAGGTAACCTGCCCGTACCGACAATGAACAGTTTATCCGTCGGGGAGGATGAAGCCATACCAGGGCAGCTGCACATGTTAAAAGAAGTCCCATTGATGGTCTTGTCCTGTCCCCAGCTGGCGTATGACAAAAAAGGATATTTCGCAACAATTTCAATTTCTCAGTCAGCATTTCAGTACTTTTCCACATGTTCCTTCGTAAATGTACTCGGCAAATGAGAAAAGTTTATTCCAGGAAAATAGAGCCTCAGATTACAAAAGTTAACTTAAAATACTGTTACCAGATATTTCGATCTAGGGATAATAACCCTGAGAATAAATAAAAGCCCTTTGGGAATAAAGGAAACCCATGGCAACGCAAGAAGAAATTGGGATCACCTGGCGTATGAGTAATTTCCGATGCAATCAGCAATTTTTCGCCTTTTTAGTACTTTTTTCAAGCTATACCAACGAACGTAAATTAGTTTCGTAAAAGCTAACAAGGCAAGCTAAAATTCTTTTGTGCTCTGGTTTGGGGCTTCGCTCTATTGTTCATTTTTCCCCTGATTCATTCCATCCTTGCCTGCCCTTCCACTCTCCCCCGGTATCCTGGATTTGGCCAGGGTACCACCACTGAACGCTCATCATCGTCATCATTTGAATTCCCGCCTGGTTGTTGCAACTAGAAGCTCATCCTGCTAATGTTGTTGCTGCTGCCCCATTAATACCCTTTATGGGTATTTCAGTTTTGATAAGCAGTTTGCAACGCGGCAATTAGCAGGATTATTCTCTCAGACTGTAGAACATATCTTCGAGTGTTAGCATCAGCCTTACAAATATCGTTTATACAGCGCCTGGGTTTAGTTGCAAGGATATTCAAACTTCGACTTGCTTACATTTTTGTTGTTGTTCCTGTTGTTGCCAGGACACGTGCATGGCCGAGCTTTGCAGTTGACATTCCGTTACGCACGTTGCTGCTCTTCGTCCTAGCTACTGCTCCTGCTTCTCCTTCTGCTGTGAATGTGGCTGCTGTCGTTGTCTGCGCAACATGCAACGCTAAAGTTTTCTGATGCAACTGCGTAGTTTGCCTGGGTTACCGAGGTCGCCCAGGGGTCTGAAAAGGGGGGGGTCAACCTAAGACAATTCAAAGCTATGACAAGGGGTTAATAGTTAAAATTTGTAATCGTTTTCCCTAGAAGGGAATAGTGTGTTGTAGTTCGAAAACTAAACAATAACAACAGAAGGAATCTAGTAACTGAGTGTCCAGACAAAGGGTATATTCTAAGCATATTCAACCCACAACTTAAACTAAGAAAGCTACGAATCAAAATAGAAGGATGGTTGAAATTGAATATTTTACTTTAAAGATAATTCTGCAATTCTGTTTATGTAGGCTCGCCTGTTAAGGCTTAGTATATATAGTTATATATGTATATCTCCTCCTATTAATACCTTTCTCTGCTCGTTGGCACTATGTAATACCCTTTAGGTGTACCGGTTACAAAAAGCTCGCTAACTAAAAAGTAGCAACAGTTGTGTTTTGCCAAACTCTTCCTAAGTCTACGAGAGCGAAAGACAAGGGAACTTTTTCCCAAAAGCTAGATATCGGGGCTGTTGGTGGGAGAGGGTTTGGGGGCCCAGCGGGGCAGTGCTCCAAGTACTCCAAGTGCAAGCAACCGTGGGCTGAGAGCCTCACTTATGCTCGCACACATTCTCGCTCTCGCACACACACAGATGCACGTCCCCAGCTTTTGTGTTGACGCACTAGAACGAACGGGAGGGTTCGAGTTACCGGTTCAGGGTGCACAGTTCCCGCTTCAACACTGAACGAAACCTCTTAGAAATTTAATATAACTATAGAATTTAAAAACCAATCATTGGATACGGGTTCGTAAAGGTTTTCAGTGTTGGTTTTCATAGGATTAATAAACCAGAGAACAATTAAAACAATTTATATTATTTGTATAGTATATATTTGTATAGTATATATTATATTATATATTTTTTTTTATATTTATATACATATTATTGATGCATAATAAAGACTTTGAATCAATTTTTTATATATTATAATTTTTATTATAATTTTTTTAACAAGAAATATTTTTAAAATATCACTATTAAGCTAATCACTACTATGTAACTCTCAAAGGTACTCTGTGCTAGTTTGTATTATTTAAAGTTATCAGCACTTTAAGTTTTACATTTATAAATTTAAACTTTTCTTGCAAATTTTGCTCAACTCTTGAGCATCTTACAAAATTGTATATAATCTTAAACCTGCTTCTGAAAAATAAATTTATTGTGTGTAATTTATTTCTCTGTGCAGTTCCCACAGGTCTCTGGCTCTCTCGCTCTGCCACTGGCTGTGCCACCCGCTACCCGTTCGGTTCAGCGTCGGGTGGGAAATGCTGAGCTGCTGCCGTCAGCGAAGCCACTCTCAGCTCTAGCATTTCGCATTCCCATTCGCCAATTAGTGGCCGGCGCGAGCGTGTCGCGTGTACGGAGAATAAATTCGAGATTCCGGTATTTTTCCGAGCGGGAAAAACATTCTCACAGATCGAAGTGATCGCGCTCACTTGATTATTGAATTCCAAGCTTACTTCTTCGTCCTTCCAAGATGGCTACGCGCGGAGCGAATGTGATCTGGTTCCGGCACGGACTGCGCCTGCACGACAATCCCGCCTTGGTGGCCGCCCTCGGGGACAAGGATCAGGGCATAGCCCTGATTCCCGTCTTCATCTTTGATGGGGAGAGCGCAGGTGAGCGCAGCACGTGTCTTTGGATTTCTGAACAATTCTCATTTCTCACACTTGCATTTGAAATTGAGTTCAATGAAACTATATTCATATGGAATCTAATGTGCAGCTGTCATTGGAATAATCAAAGGATATCCGAATTTCTTTGTTTTTTATAAAAGATAGTTGCTTGTGTCTCGGAATATAGTCGCTTTTTACGACTTAAAATCGAACTTTCGAATAGCTTAAATAAATGTGATTCGAACGAGTTTCTTTCCCCTGGTCCATTTTTATCCTTCCAGGCAAACAAACTTAATTAAATTAAATTAATTTTCACAACAGCCTTTAGTTTTCAATTTAAATTTTCCACTTAAATGTTTAGTAATTATTCCGAACAATGTAAAGTAGTGGGCCAAAGAATAAATGAAAATGCAAAAAGCTCGATTGCAATTACACACTCTGTTTACGTATGAGCTAATATCATTTTTTTTGCGACTTGCCAGTGTTATCAAATATTTTCCCTTTCCCCGACCTCCGCAAATTCAGCGTTTTCGCAGCTGTGCACTCCAGAGGGGCTCGGGGAAATCGGATGGCCGCGAAAAGCTGTAGGAAAGGGGGGAGGAAAAACCTAATGCACTTTAGTTTGGCGGAGCAAAACAAACGATGCGCTATAATGCGATTTGCGGCTGGCGGTTGTATGAATGCACGAGTGCGCCATAGAGTACAGAAAGACAATGCAAAATTGGGGAGGGGAGGGGAGGGACACTGAGAACAAACCTGAATGCGAGTATAATGTCTTCTATGTTAAGAGAGAATTCAAATGCAACCCATAACTTGACCGATAAGCGTCGTTTTGCGGCTAAAAGCGGAACGCCAGCTAAACTCAATGCTCTGTCTGAGCAAAAGCTTAGCGATAACTGAAAGCTGACAAACATGCTAACTAGATTGAATTTATAAAAACTGGGTTCCTTTTGTAATGCCAAGAACTGGGAGCTTGCATGCATAATGTCTAATAAATAAGTAATTCAAATATATTGAACTTTTATATATTTTCATACTATTTACCCGAGAAGAGTATAATAATTATAGTCAGGAGTTGGCAATGCAGTGAACGAGTCAATTCTGACCATATATAGTATATATTTGCGATCAGCATCGGACAACCGGTTAATTTAATCATGTCCGTTTATCCATCTGTCCGTTTTCTTGGCAATTTATTCTCTTAGGTTTAGAGATATCTGAATAAAACTTTTCAGATAGTTTTCAACTAATATATTATATAAGTCCGGCCAAACACTGTATCATATAGCTAAATAAGAAAAGCAAAAGAAAAAGAAATCAAATTTCGCTGATTTAATACTCTGACACATGTTATTCTTTTATACCCTTTCATGGTCTTATAAAAAAAGACATTTCCGACCCTATAAAGTATATATGTAAATTTTTGATCAACATTAACAGAGGAGTCGATTTAGCCATGTCCGTCTTTCCGTTTCTACGCAACCTAGCACCTCAGTTTTAAAGAAGTTTTAAGAAATTCAAATTTTGAATGAAACATTGCAGATAGTCTTCTGACTACTCTCATTGCTATATAACAAGAAGATGCAGGATCGGACGACTATATTATTTATTTATTAATTATTATATATTATTTGAGAATTTTGGTTTTAGTTTTATGAAAATCGGACGACTATTTCATATATCTGCCTTAGGAACGATCCGGAAATTAATATAAAAAGTATATTATCGCCTTTTTTTAACATCTTTCTCTGATGTGACAGAATTTTGTATTATTTTAGAATTTTGGTTTCTATTTTATGAAAATTGGACGATTATATCATATATCCAATATGGGCGTTCAGTAAATGTAGGGAAAACTGAAAAGCTGAGAATGTAAATCTGTAACTCTAAATCTGTAAATATGATATACCATAATGTTTAGGGTAAATGTATGAAAGTTGCTATTACTTTGTTTTTGTTCAAAAACAAATTGTTATATGCTTCTATAAATTTGTTTGAAATTGGTTTAATATTTTTGCATCTCTGGTTGTTTTTTCTTTAAAATGATTAAAATGAATCGATTGCAAGGATATACAATCTCCGGCGAACCGAAGTTAGCTTTCTTCCTTTTTTATAATTTAGTTTGGTTTAAATTTTAAATATTACGACTATATCATAAAGCTGCCATAGAAGCAATTAGAAATTAACCAAAATAAATTATAACTTAGCCGTTTTTAAACATATTTTAATATTCTTCATTCCATTCATTACAATCGTAATATTATACCCTTGCAGGGTATTATAATTTCAGTCAGAAGTTTGCAACGCAGTGAAGGAGACGTTTCCGACCCTATAAAGTATATATATTCTTGATCAGCCGAGTCGATCTAGCCATGTCCGTCTGTCCATCTGTCCGTCTGTCCGTCTGTCCGTCTGTCTGTTTCTACGCAAACTAGTCCCTCAGTTTTAAAGCTATCTGAATGAAACTTTGCATATAGTCTTCTATATACTCTCACTGCTATATATGTCGGAACGGGCCGGATCGGACGACTGTATCATATAGCTGCCATACAAATGTTCGATAAATTTTTAGAAAAAATAATTGTAACTTGGCTGTTTTTCAACATATGTGCACTATTTTTTACATATGACCATTTTATATTATTTCTGAATTTTGGTAAAAATTTTATGAAAATCGGACGGCTATATCATATAGCTGCCATAGGAAGGATCAGGAAATTTATAGAATAAAATTATAACTTCGTTGTTTTTCAAACTATTTTCATCTACTCTGAGATATAAGCTTATTTTATTAGTTTAGAATTTTGGTATAAATTTTATGAAAATCGGACAACTATATCATATAGCTGCCATATATACCGATCGGTAGGTGTAGGGAAAATGTAAAACGGGGAATGTAAAACTGTAACTGTCACACTGTCAACATAATAAGTATAGGTAAAATGCAATGAAATAATATCTGCAAGGGTATACAAACTTCGGCGTGCCGAAGTTAACTTCCTTTCTTGTTTGTTTATGTTTTGAATCAAAACCGAATTATTGTATCGAATAGTTTTTAGTTTTATTTTTGTTTTTAGTTATCCTTTTAATTCTACAAGTAGATAATGTTACTCACCATTTAATTTCAGGCACAAAGTGCGTTGGCTACAACCGTATGCGCTTCCTGCTGGACTCCCTGCAGGACATTGATGATCAGATTCAGGCAGCAACCGAGGGAAGGGGACGCCTCCATGTCTTCGAGGGCGAACCGGTGAATATATTCCGTCGGCTGAACGAACAGGTGCGTCTGCACAGGATTTGCATTGAGCAGGACTGCGAGCCGATATGGAGCGATAGAGACGACTCCGTCCGGTCGCTGTGCCGTGAGCTGGGCATTGACTTCGTGGAGAAGGTTTCGCACACCCTGTGGGATCCGCGCACGGTGATTGACACGAATGGAGGTATTCCACCCCTTACGTACCAAATGTTCCTTGTAAGTACTCGAAGACATTCCAATTTGTAATCATAAAATATATTGGCAGAGTTTTCCAAGTCAAATTAAAGCAATAACATTTTTTTCTACCAGCACACGGTCCAGATAATTGGCCTACCGCCGCGTCCTGCTGCCGATGTCCACCTCGAAGATGTCAGCTTCGTCGAGCTGGCCCCAGAAATGCGCCGCAATCTGGGCTACTTCGAGCAGATGCCCAATCCGGAGCACTTTAACGTTTACGGCGATAACATGGGTTTCCTGGCCAAAATCAACTGGCGCGGCGGCGAAACACAGGCCCTCCTGCTGCTGGAGGAGCGGCTAAAGGTGGAGCAGCACGCGTTCGAGCGTGGCTTTTACCTGCCCAACCAGGCTCTGCCTAACATCCATGACACACCAAAGTCGATGAGCGCCCACTTGCGCTTCGGCTGTCTGTCTGTGCGTCGCTTCTATTGGAGCGTTCATGATCTCTTCAAGAACGTCCAGTTGCGAGCCTGTGTGCGCGGCGTGCAAATGACCGGCGGGGCTCACATTACGGGACAACTGATCTGGCGGGAGTACTTCTACACGATGTCGGTGAACAACCCGAACTACGACCGCATGGAGGGCAACGAGATCTGCCTGAGCATCCCGTGGGCCAAGCCGGACGAGGATCTCCTCCAGCGCTGGCGCCTGGGCCAGACTGGCTTCCCGCTGATCGATGCCGCAATGCGGCAGCTCTTGGCGGAGGGATGGCTGCATCACACGCTACGCAACACGGTGGCCACCTTCCTGACCCGCGGCGGCTTGTGGCAGAGCTGGGAGCACGGCCTGCAGCACTTCCTCAAGTATCTGCTGGACGCCGACTGGTCGGTCTGTGCCGGCAACTGGATGTGGGTGTCCAGCTCGGCCTTTGAGAGGCTACTGGATTCCTCGCTGGTCACCTGTCCCGTGGCCCTGGCCAAGCGTCTTGACCCGGAGGGGGCCTACATCAAGCAGTACGTGCCTGAGTTGCTGGGCGTGCCCAAGGAATTTGTGTAAGTCTTGGGAGTGGATAGATCTTAAGTTTTCTTCGCAAAAACCCAGTCTCAAAACCCTCTTCCGTAGGCACGAACCGTGGCGAATGACTGCGGAGCAGCAGGAACAGTACGAGTGCCTGATCGGCGTCCACTATCCGGAGCGCATCATCGATCTCTCCAAGGCAGTAAAGCGCAACATGCTGGCCATGACGGCGCTCCGCAACTCGCTGATAACGCCGCCACCGCATTGCCGGCCCTCCAACGAGGAGGAAGTGCGTCAGTTCTTCTGGCTGGCCGACCAGACGGTGTAGGGCGGAGCAGACCTTGTCCCCTTAATACCCTTTCTGCACACACACAAATAAAGGGACTTTTCGAGGCCGCTCGTATATTATATATCATTAATAATGCTTTATTTCTTCAATTAAAATAATTACTACAATACAATTAGTGTTTGTTTTCATTTGGTTTCGATTTATTTTTAACAGCTCGTAACGTGTTACTCATATATCAATTGTATTCAGCTTACTGTAAAAATCGTTTATGGTGTATATATATATAATTATTATTATCATTTGTATTACGTTATCAAATTATACGTTAATCAACAGCATTAATTAAGTAGTTGGTTTTTCTTGCTTTTATTTTATTACGAGAAAAATTGAACGCGAATTTATTTCAAATATTGAAATGTAATTTTATGTCGATCTACTGATCTCCTTCGTTTTCCTTTCGTTAATTGAGACTGCCGCTGGCTTGTATCTTATTAGTTTGTGTATATTTTATTTTAATGCCTAAATTCTGGTATTTCCTCTAGATGTGCGCCATAAAATTAGGTTATTTTGCGGATTGATAGGACCTATAAGGAGTTATTGTTGAAGTTTGAGTCCCTCGACAGTTTGCTACAAATAAAAATGGAGAAAATTATCCTCGGAGCAGACCGAGGCCTTGGCTTGCGCCCCCTACAAGTATAGGGCATTTGTACACTCTGAATCGCCATGAAATGCAGCAATTGGGAAATCGAATTGAAATCTAGAAAATGTAGGGTCATGTTCCAGGGTAGGGAACCCACGGTTTTATCTCTTCGTCTTGCGCATTCTTTGAATTAGCTAAAGTAAGCATTTAGAGCGATGACGCTTGGCCAAAATTTAGATTTCTGGTACACATTAAGGTAGATTTCACACACACACACATATGTTTAGTATACGATAGCTAAGTAAATAAACAATCGAACCAACCAATTTTCAATCAACCAACGAACGTGAACAAACAAGAACGCACACAGCTATTAACAACTTGGCGCAGTTTATACATTATGGAATATGTCGCAACGCAGCATTTCGCCTTTTATAATTATTACATGGTATGTTTTTTAAAAGTACTTCCAAGTGTCCTCTCTGTATGTATGTATGTACAAATGTATAGTATCCTTCTAAGCTGATGCATTCTCTGCGTGTCAAGTGGATGTCTGTGTGTTCGAACCGATTGGCTATAAAAATAAAAGCAGCTTGTCCCCCATTTTGTGCAGGCAGTATACTAAAAATCCCCTTGAACTTTCTCTTGACCATTCCATTCTCCCCTTCCGTTTGCCGCTAGTTGGGTGCTTTAAGCCTATGAGGTTTAATTAAATTCATTTGCCTTTGAATTCCTCCATTATCCTTTGGGTCTCTAGGTGTCGCCGCGTGTGTGTGTGTTTCAGGGTCATGGAAATATATGCGTGTAAATTTGTAATGATTCTGTTAAAAGCTTTCATACTTTTTGGTTTGACAGGTGTTATTTAGAGTTAAAATGGACGTTTCATAGATATAGATTAAGTTATACATATTGGGGTATCTCTCAAGTGTTACTTCTAGGTCTGAGCAGAAGTTAGCGGTAATTGGAAAAGTGCTCGAGGCGATCTTGAAAGGGTGAGATGTGTCTAAGGTGGTTTACTTTAAAGATTTCATCAGATATTGGCAGTTTCCTAGTGACGACTCCTGCTTGAAAAGTTGTGAGAATGAAATTGTACATTTCTTTCAATCCTAAAATGATACAGATACACTATAATGCCCGTCTGCGCAAACTTACATAGCCAGAGGCTAACTCCACTCGCAGGCGGTTCGTCATACATACATATGCAAATCATTCAAACTCAAGCCCATGAAAGGAAACTGTTTGCCCAGTCAATCCCAGACTCCGTTCCCGCACTAGCGGCATCTTGGGATTGCGTTTGTTGTATTGACTGACTGCTGACTTTTTGAAATGCAAATCAAATGCAGGCCACAGCTGCATAACCAATGAATGCAAATAGACGTGCCTTTGTATAGGCTTCTATGTACATATCCTCAGATGTCTCCGCACATCACATATTCAAAATGCTCTGAACTCGCCACCCGCCGCCCGCCGCTCTTTCTCGATTCTCAATTTGGTTACCGTGCAGGATGTTTGCGTTTAACTTTTTACATTAACTTTTATCTGGTTTATTTCACACTTTTTAAAACTGCAACTTAAACAATTGGATTTCACGGGCACAGGCTGTCCTGTCCCGTCCTGTGTGTGTTCGCTCCTGTAACATACAGTGCAGGGGAAGGAGCAGGAACTTAACTAACTTACTGTGGTTGCAACTCGGCTTCTCGGGCTCTCTCTAATTTGTTGGTGTTTTGGGGGCTACACTAGAACTCAGCCCGGTTGCTGCGGTTACAGTACACTTGGTGTTTTGCTTTGTTTTAGTTTCTGCTGCTACTGTTTGCTTTGAATTGCTTTCATTTCGTTTCAGTTTTGCTTGCTTGGTGTTTGTTTGGTATTGTAAATTTATTTATGCAATTTTATCTCAATTTCATTATCGCTCGCTTTCCTTCCCATCGCATCTAGTTTCAGTTTTGTTTCGCCTGATCTTTACATACACATATATTGTTGGTTTAGAATTTTGTAACTAGACTTAGTCGGCGTCCGCGCGCATGCCCCGCACCTCGCCCACCTGCCGCGCCTTGTCCAGGTCCTCTTTGGTCTGTTCCTCGATGGCGCGGATGTCGTCCATTGTCAGACCGTACCAGCGATCAGTTGAACAGAAAACTTGGCTGCAATGGAAGAGAAGAAAGATATATTTATGACATTTGTGGTCTCGTAAGTGTTTAGATTTGGGTCTGTTTTTCCACGCCATTTACCGATGGAAGTTTGTGAAGAGGCGTCGCTCCGACTTTTGTATGAAATTTTCTACTCTAGTTTGCAGGCCGAACCATTTGAACTCGCACGTCACCAGCTTGTAGCAGGTCATTACGGGTTTCACGTGCTTTTTCCAATCGGCTCCCACCAGGGGACCGCGGCCCGTCTTCTTTGACTGGTAGCTGAAAGGGAAAACATTCCATATATTAACCCGTTTGGGGGCATCTTCTGACTTTCACCTACGTGGTTGGATCCTCATCGGGCTTGTAGTCCGCTGGCAGGACCGGATCATTAGCAATGTCAATGTACACCACCTCGCGTATTTTCAGCTTATCCGGCGTCAGCTCGTGCACCTGCAAAGGCGGATTCCGGGCGAAAACCATTTTAAAACTACTCAGACTTATGACTACAGGTAACATTCAAAGCGATTTTCTACAGACAGGCATGCACAGGGATCGATTTATGGCGTTTAAGAGCTACAAAGCCGAACAGAGCAGACAGCAAATCAAATGATAACTCAACGACACTCACGTTCTCGACTTCGCCAGTGTCATTATCAATGTGTTGCGAATAGACATCTACTCTAAAGTTTTTATTCATATAACCGGGATTCTTAACCGATAATCGATAACAGAAAGTGTCCAAGAACGGAAACCGAAACCAAAACAAGCCAAACCAAAGGAAAACGAACTCAAATGGCGATCAAATGTTGTTAGTGGTTAGTTAGTCGTGATTAGTATTCACAATGCATGACGAGATGAGGTGACGTTTTGTGGAGAGAAAAGAAAAGAACACGGGGTTAGTAACGTCTGGCAATGGATCCTTGACTTACATTTTCCGAGTCGCCCCCATCGCCGACGTGCAGCGTGTCGATGATTATTTTGAACGCATCTTTCATAAATTTGGGGTTCTAGAAATGCAATGTAATCAGAGTGTAATCAGATTGGCGTGCACTCATCCACGACGCAACCTTGCCGCTAGCTTACAAAAAAAGTAGCCCCCAGTTTTCCCATTAAACCCCATAATTACCGTAATAATCGTTCGACAATAGGGATATGCATTCCATGCCTCCTCGTGGATCTCCAGCGAGCCCTTGGGCGCCAAGAGTCTTATATAAGCTGGAACTTTTGATTGCAGATGGTAGATCTTATATGTGTATTGTCCGGAATTGTATTTTCCGCCTGCAGGAAACAAGGAAAAGTGTGTGTCAGTTGTAGGTCCTCAATTATGAATTTGCGTAATGGTTTACCCAGCAGGGGAACATCGTTGAAAGGTTCGTTCTTTAACACCTCGATGCCCTCACCGCCGCCCGTATTCTCTTTTGATGCCTCGGCCACCGAGAATAATTGTGCTACTTGATACTGTGGATGGGGATAAGACAAAAGAAACAATAAGTGGAAAGTTATTCTCTGGGCTTTCATCAGCAATTTCCACCAGAACTCACCTCTTCCACAGTTAATGGCAAGGTCACACGGCTGCAACGAGAAAAAGGACAAAGAACGACAGTGTCAGTGGAAGCGATACACGTTTTTAATAAAGTTTAATATAACAGTTTTAATTAAATATCAGGCCTGTGTACAAAAACCAGCGGTTTCCCGTGATAGTATGGGGGTATGTGGGCTTCAGCCAGAGCATTAAATATGAAAATGAAAAATGGCGTTGAGTCTTAAATATTTGCTTAATAACAATTAAAATCTCTTGCCATTTAAACCGCTTTTGACTTAAGATTTCCAACTCGCGTGCTTTGTTCTTTCAACATCGTAGTTGACTCACCTGTTATGTTATTATTTCAATGCTTTCATGTTCAAAGATAAATCAGCTAAACATACAAAGCCTAATTGTGTCATGAACACCTTTGCCTTCAAAATTTGCATAATTACAAGCACTACACTAATTGTACACATTCTGTGCACTCAACTCGAGCCCCAAAGTATGCAGCGCTAAATGAAACAAACTATCCTCGGCCACCTGCCAGAATGACCATCTGTCTAACCACAACCAATTGAAGTCGATTGATACTTGTGAAATTAGATTAGAATTAGTGGACTTCCTCGATGGCAAAACGTATGAAAAAGAATATACCTGATTGTGTGCAAGCAATACTCCTGAACCATTTAAATGATTTATTTTTAATTTAAAGCCAACATAAGAGGACGTTGCCTTGCAGAAAGCTGCGAATAGGCATTCCTGAAATGCTGCAAATAAAAGTTTTGCCAGTCGTTTCTAATTTTATTTGCATGCATAAATATACACGGCCTTCAACCTGCGCTAGCCACCCACTTCCGGCCCAAAAACACTCATCCTCTTATTACCAAAATAAAAATGGTCGCAAGCAACGGAAGCTGTAGGAAATGTTTTGGGAGCCCCCATATAATTATGACAGCCTTGAAACGCGTTCACATCGCTTGACATTTGTCGCTGTTTTGGTAGCGACATTTTATTTGCTAAAATTGTAGCAGTCAAGTTAAGAGAGTGCTCTTTAAACTTGTTAAAATAAGGCCGTTTTAAATTGTTAGTTAAAGAGTATTTACTTTTCCCGTGTATCAACTTTATTCTTCCTGTTAAGCAGTTAACCTACCCCGATAATGCAATATCTAGAATCGAAAACTAACCAACTAACAAAATGTTTTAAGTAGTATGCAAATTAATTCAAATACTACTAAAGAGTATTCTGATTCGGGTCACTTATTCTCACAACACTCCTTGTGAATGTTCACTTTATAACGACTCCCAGCAGAGTCCTAAAAAAAAGGTTGATTAAAACGATTTGCAACTGAGAAACTAATCTTCTTCTAAAGAATATAAACGACAAACTGTAATCCAAGCAAAGCCAAAAGTCGACGGGTTTACAAATAAAATATTTCCCTGCGAGTTAAAGGATAAATTGTCCCTATGGGGCGGAGATTCTTGGCATGCATTTGGAGATGGCCCCACGACATTCGCAAGGTGCGAACGGAAACTCCTTGGCCATAAAACAGGCAAGCCCCGTGCTGGTTGGGCTTTATGAGATGCAATCCGTATACCCTTTACACCATATATAATATATACACAAACACCAAAACAATGCGACACAGCAGTTGAAAACGTGTCGTAGGTGAGGGAACGGATCCTGAAAAGGGGTCTCCTTCCTGCTTTTGTTAGCAACGCGTCTTGCAGGCGCAATTAACCTTTTGGCCCTCTGTTGACACTAATAATGATGTGCTTCCTAATTGCCAGCCGACTCGAGCAACTGGTAGGCGTGGCTTTAAAGTACTGCGACTTCTGCCAAGTTGGCCAACTGTGCAACGCCCTTAAAAAGGTTAAAGTTCGGTGAGCAACGCTGGAGATGAGGGGGGATTTAACTTTCGCCCCGAGTTCATCGGGGAATTTCCCCGAAAACAAGATGAATGTTTCAGCTGGGTGGGGAAGGGGAGCCGCAAAGTTGGAACTATAAAGGGGCTCGGGGCAAGCTTAAACACTGTGTTGCGGGGTTTAATTATTAATGAAGTTATGTGAAACTTTACTTAATCATATGCTTCATGCATTTTAAGTTCAAGCGAGCGTAAGTAATACTTTTGTTTAATTTAATGCATGAATTAAATGTAAGAATGTAAGAATTCAGATATCTGTCATCATTGGATAGTAAAACATTTTACAGTCCATTTTGGATAAAATAAATTTAGTTAAGTATCCCAGCTTGCTTATAACTATCTCATCAAAATTATTACATTTTTAAAATTGTAAAAGTTCATTATAAGTGAAAATTTTTTAAAGAAAATGTTAAGGGGGTCTTCTCATTCAAAAGCCGTTTTTTGGACCCTTTTTAAAAAAATTCTTATTTGAAAACGCAAAGAATAATTGAAAACTTTTTTTATTTATTGTATTCAAAAATGTTCAAAGTAACTAAAAAAGTTGTTCTTGCCTCGATACGAGGGTTGTTCAAAGAGTAATGAGATTTCAAACTTGGTGGTCGAAAAAAAGGTGTCGTCCTGGCGGCCACGATTCAGGGTCTCCAGAGCGTCCGAAATGAAAAAAAAAAACGGAGTTATAATCAGAATAGATGTCATTTTCGGGTGACGGAACAGATTTTTTTTTAAATTTTTTTTAAACAAAATGGCGGCCATTCAAAAAAAAAATTCGATTTCGGGCTTTTTTTTTAGTTTAGTGTAAAAAAAAAAATATAAAAAAATCTGTTCCGTCGCCCGAGAATGGTGACAATTCTGCGTCGATTCCACTTTGTTTCATGAAAATCGGTTCAGTTGAACTGGAGATATCATGGCCGCCAGTTCGAAAAACGTGGTTTCGAGATAAACGCGTTTAAAGTTTGAAAAAAGCCCATTTTGCATAGACCATGCTTCCCAAAAATGGCTGTATCTTCTAAAGTATTTCGAATTTCTAAATATTCTTTTGGGTACATATACACAACATCCCAAGCTATAAATAAATGCAAAAAAAAAATCGAATAAAAAAAGTTGCCCAATGAGAAGACCCCCTTAAGGAAACTCATAAAATGAAAATGAATTACACAGACACCTAAGAACAGAGGCGACACAAAATGAGTTTCTGACAAAAAAAAAAAAAAAAGTCATTCGCAAAAAACAAATAAGCAAGAAAATAAGTTCCCATCAAAGGGTTGGATGGAAATAACAACATCAAACTGGGTCAAAATATCCCAAATTTCGAAAGATCAAACGATATAATCGTGTGTTTTGTGGCGAGGGTTTTCATGAACCAGAGCACAATGGGAGCAATACAAAAATTATGCAAAAAGAAAAACAGAAACATAAAAGAAATTGCCACATATGATGGAGAGGTTAAGAGGGAAGGTTGGCTTGGCGCAAAACAATAACAGCAGCAGCGGCGGAATATTGAAGAACCCTTAATGAGACCTATGTGGCCGAAAGAAACACACTCAAGGGTCCCCCACTGACCACTTTCGGCCCCCTTTCTGGCGGCCGTAAGCAAGGGAAATTGTTTGGGTTTTTGTTGGCATAATTGAAAATGGAAAGTGATTGTGTTCAGGGACCCTGTGTGTGTGGGCTGTCGTGGCGGTCAAGTAGAAAGCTCTCGGCCAAGGCTCTTGTGGCGGCGGTCGGCCACCATTGCAGACCGACCACTGCCAAAACAGAAAGGCCAGTAATAATTGATTTACCCCGCAATAAAGATGTCACAAAGAGATTGCCAGTGTGCTTAATAATGCCTTGGCAGTGACTCATTCAAGCAAATCCACATAAAACTACAGCTTTTAACGCAAGTCTTTTGCGTAATATTTCGGGTTATTATACGTATATGTAAGACAACTACACAATATCCCTTATGGAATAGGGATCAAGGTCAAAAACAATCAGTAGACAGCTGTTTTACAATAGAGCCACCCCATTTCATTTGGTTCGTTGTAGACAGACTCTTAGGTTGTACCTAGACCCTATTGAGTTTTATAGCAACTCAAAGTCGCTTATCATTAATTTAAACACTGGAAAAAAAACGGTGTAGGTTGTGAAAAAAAACCCATCAGCAATCCAGTAATTTGTTGTAATTATTTTAAAATTTCAGAGCCATTAACTAGTAAATAATAATATGATATGTATTGGCCAACTCTTTCCAGACCCCTTTTTAAGCACATTTCGGCTGGCGCTAACCAACAGTAAACCGTCAGAAAATTTCGAAACGAAATAACTGAAACTAAACACACACTCTCTCACCACAGACACAAACCGAAAACCAAACGCTGTCTGTTATCTTATCGCGGAACATAAAAAAACACAAATGGCGGAACTAAATTGGAGCTCGTGCCATTTTCGAATTGATTGCGGAATGGACGAGAAGACCAGAGGGGAGGGTATCCGACAGATATGTGTAGGGGATACAAAGTGCGCCAATCAGTTGGGTCAGTAAAAGTCACGCTAGAGCTACTTTATGACGAGTGCCGTGCCGAGGGAACTGACATTGAAAACAAGCTTTTCCTTTCACAGATCAAAGTTGAGGGGGTTGAATGTTAAAAAAGTTATACTTCAAAATGAAGAGGTGGGCAAATTGAATGTTTTATGATAAAGGATGGACAACATTAGCTGGTTAAAGAGTTTAAATACAACTGCTCCTGTTAGAGCCTTCAAAATGTGGTCAATGCCTTATGATTCCAATTCCACTTATTTTGTTGGCATTCATGAACTGATGCTCACATTACTATGAAAACAAATGGAGTACGACACTCAGAACGTTTTTCATAGTAAACAATAAAGTGTTGACCGACCGCACACAGTATCAGATGAAACACACAAAGTGCAGCCTATCGCTTTGATTCATGCTCCCACACTGCCCCGTGGCCATTTAAAATTGTTTATCCGCCTGAGGCGATGTGCCATCACCACCCCGGCACACGTTGCTTTTATTCCCACATTTTTTTTTTCTTTTTATTTAATGAAAGCGTTGAAATGCTCAGTGCCAAATGGTTCATACTCCCACAGCAGACCGAGGGGAAATGCAAAATCTGGCAGGGAAAAGCATTTTAAAATGCAAAGGCAAAAGGCTCTCGGCATGGAAATTACGACATCAATAACAATTAAACATTGATGGCACACACGAAGATTACTTCTGTCAACTTATGGGGACTATAGTACCAGGAATTTCAATAAAGGCTTTCACAAGGCTGGATTATACCTCCAGTCAGATGGGCACGTAATGGCACTTAAAGCTAAGTACACACATCTCCGGCGTACACGGAGAATTTTGTAACTACTCTAATTAGCACTTGATGTAATCGGTGACTTAGAGACAAGTTTCGGACTCACTTACACCACTGTGGAGTGTTAAATTATTGTAATAATTAATTGTAGTGATCATTTGATTACGATCTAATACTAAACAGCCTTTTTATGTGATTGTTTGTTTTTCGATACAAGATGATATAAAACGTTTTTCGAAATAAGTGCATCTCTGCGATATTTGTCACATATTTATTTATATAAACTCTCTTTTGAAAATGGATTTCTAAGTAGGGTATAAAGGCTAATTCAGAATCTAGTACAGGGCCTTCGGATTTGCAATAATGTTGGTTGCAACAACCAAATAAGTATTTATAAATCAAGTATGTTAGCTTTAGCTATGCAATATTGTTTCTAAACCATCAAAGAATGAAATAAAATTATCATTTGCATTTTACATAATCGCATTGTATTTTACAGGGATTGCAAATAAGAGTTATGAGTAAAATAAAAGTTACTACCAAAAAATTGAGCTGGAAAGATAAAAAATTTAGGTATCCCATAATTTTTTAAGGAGAGTTCAAAAATAAAATAAACTTTTATAACCAATTTTTATTTTTTAATTGCGCTTTAACTCTTATTTTTAAATTTTAATAAAAAAGTTGTAGAATAATTATTATTTTTCAATTTCTATATAAAAATTGAGTTATAACAATTATTTGCAATTTTTAAAATAATAATTGAAAATTAAAATTATTCTCCAATTTTTTATTTTAAAAATTGAAAATAACAGTTACGTGTCAATTTTTATTTTAAAAATTGAAAATAAAAATTGAATCGCAATAACTTTCCAACGGAGCGGTATATCTTAAAGATTTATATATGTAATTAATCTACGCTTCAATACCTTTCGTTTGATGTATATATTGTGGTTATTGCTTATGCATAAAAATATGCGTATACGTACTGCTTATTACATTCCCCAAACAAACAAGGATACTAAAATACCTTTTACAAATGGAAAGTCCAAAATGCAGATAACAAAAATATATATAATAAATTGTCACCTTTATATTTAAATATTATTACCTGTAGCTGGGTAATTATCTCAGTATTCACGTTTGTTTGTGAAACGGTGAATTTTTTATTATATGCACTTATGTTCATGTACATATTTGTGTACATGCAATAACCACAATATATACATCAAACGAAAGGTATTGAAGCGTAGAATCATTATATATGCCAATCTTTAAGATATACCGCTCCGTTGGAAAGTTATTGCGATTCAATTTTTATTTTCAATTTTTAAAATAAAAATTGGAAAATAATTATTATTTTCAATTTTTAAAATAAAAAATTGGAGAATAATTTTAATTTTCAATTATTATTTTAAAAATTGAAAATAATTGTTATAACTCAATTTTTATATAGAAATTGAAAAATAATAATTATTCTACAACTTTTTTATAAAACTTGAATAATAAGAATTAATTTCCTATTTTTTCTATATAATTGTAAAATAACTCTTATTTCATAATTTTTATTATAAAAATTATAACTGTTACGATCCCTGGTATTTTAAAATAACTAATCTTTGATCTTGCGGATCTGAATCCGCCAGTAAAATGGCTGGAAGTTAACAGAGATTTAGCAGAGGGAAATACGAATCCGTGGGGATTTTTCGGAAATAAACTATTTTAACCTAAGAAATATGTATGTATGTACATAGTTATATTATGCGATTTTAAAACCCAAATTCTTAATAAATAATAAAATAAATTAATTTAATTTAATTTTCTCACGCGTCACTGTATGAGTATGCCTGTCAAGTCTATTTCGGCTCCGCAAAATCCCATTTAATTTCAAAAAAAAAGCATCAACGGTTTTATGCCTGCGCCTTGCAATACATTTCTGAATTTGACGAATTTGACAGCACTAAGTGACTCTTTCTCGTCCAGATAAATTACAGGCGCAAAAACAATAACGATTTACTTTTACGAGAAGGTATCCCGCTCTTTGCCACCTGTGTCTTTAGAAAAAAAAAAAAAAAACTGGACATGTCAATAAAATATCTGCAACAAACTCTTTAAATAGTCGATCATAGCTTATAAACAGATTGATTTGTACGATAAGGGAAACGCCGGCTATAAAAAGCGATAAGAATTGTGAGATTACAGTACGACTTTTCCATGTGGAATCTGTTTTGTTTGACCTTGCTTTTCCAGCAGCTGCCAAAGTCAAAATCAATTATAAACCAAGCAATTTAGTTTTGCCATATACATACATATGTATGTATGAATACATATATATTTTTTTTCATTTTTGTTAATGAATAAAAAGTAACGTTTCCGTAGTGTGAGGATGGATATGAATACGAAAGCACTCCCCCTTAAAAGGCAATACATACATACTTAGGAACGTGTGTGAGCTTTTTGCAAATAAGAGTCAATAAAATGTAAATAAAAAAGATAAACTTCAATGCGGGCAAAGGGTAAGGGTCTCATTGAATACCAGTTTACTAAATTATTTGGTTTTCTGTACAACCCAGATAAACAGAAAAATAAACACAAACACAACAAATTTATCATTTCAATTGTTAAATTAAAGAACCTCATTTTATTGGATTGAGTTTTTTGATAGGTGGAAGCACTATTTGGATATAGTAAAGGATCTTAGACAAGAGTGACTAACGGGGTGGGGGTTATCGGACTCGTTTACGCAACGACCTTATCGCACTTTAACAACTTGTTTGATTAAATTTCGCCGAAAGCTAGGCCGAAACCCAAAGAGAGGCGCAAAAGAGAGCGATGTGAGTCACACAAAAGCGACAACGTGGCGCCGCTAAAAAAAAAAAAAGGAAAGTCATGAAAGCCATTGTGAATCAAGTAACTGATGAGATTCTTACGACGGCTTACGTAGAACTGGCTTACGTAGCTTTAATTCCAACTTGAAACTCATTACGTCATCACAAACAGCTGCAACGGGCGATAAAGAGAGTGTGAGTGCGAGAGCGAAATCGAACGCGAACGGGGGGGCGGAGGGAAAGTGAGCGGGCTGATAAGAAAACATTATTTTGTTGGTGTTTTTGTGGAAAATGCCCGCAAGCTTAATTGCAAAAGAAACAAAAGCAACAAACAGCCAACACGACGCCAGAGTTCTTAAGAGAGAGGCGACTCACGCCAGAGACGCAAGCTAAGAGAGGGCGGGAGTCTCGAAGAGAGCGGAAAATCGATTTGTCACAAGCCGTTGGCGGCTTGAACGGTTTTTAGGGAAATTTAATAATCACAGGTAAACCAGATAAGATATCAATACTCACAATTCTTTGATCTGCATCTTTTCCAAGTATTACAAGTTGTTCTTTCCCTTGAATCGCTGCGGGCGGATGATGTAGGGGGTGATACGGAGACAGAAAGGGCAAGAGCGAGAATTAGACTTTATTTAAATTAGTAGCACCTTTATATTTTGGGTTTTAACTTTTCTCTACGAGTTCCAAACATATGCAAATGCACTCGACGCGTAACCTTCGCACGCACTTGCTATATTTAATTCATATATCTGCAAGACCCGTTCGATCCGATGCCAAGTGCCAGAACTCTGCTCGCACCGTTGTTTATGTTTATAACTTTTCGCGCTACCTTTTTGTAGCGGCTTTTAGTTGGAAACTTTAGTTCTCTTGCTTTTTTCTCCAATTGTCGGCTAAAAAACACGAGTCATACGCACGCACACACACACACACCCACTCACACACTTCCAAGCGGAATCGCCACTATTTGATATGGTTATTACTGAAATGCTGACGTACAACGGTAGCGCTGTTTGCCTGAGCTCGGTGTCGGTTCGCGCTAACTAAATCGACGGCAGTAATATTAGTAAATGACTTTTGTTAAGTTTTTTGTTTTGTTAGTGCAAACAGTGTGGCCAGGCGCAATTCGGCTATGCGGTTAACTTGGCGTGTCAAATGTCACAAGCGGTGTCAAATGTAGCAATGGGGTAGAAGGCATGTAAAACGAGGTCGAATTCGCAATCGGTACGTAAAAAGGGGTCGAATTCCCAATCGGTAAGTAAAACTATGTAAAATTGGTGTGGCCAGGGGCCTTCCCCTTAAAAATCTCAAATAGTTTAAATTTCCGAAGAAATTCCCACTTTCTCGGCTTTTGGGTACACTAAATTTGGCTTATTAGGGGAAGTCCCTAAATTTATTTGTCACCATTTTTGCAGGACAAGCTTAAATTAAGTTATATATGTACAGTTGCGGCAAAAAAAATAGCACCATGACATATATTTTTCATTATTGATTAATTGTTTTATAACTATTCATATATTTAACTTGTTTAAGGCTTTTATTTTTACTTTAGGCTCTAATTTATCGAAATACACTGCAAGTGTCGTCGATAATAACATGAAATTGAAATATTTACATTAAGAATGTGAACGTTGAACATTTTAGGCGGCAACAAAAATAGCACTATTTCAAAAATAACTTAAGAAAACGAAAAAAAACGAAAAAAAATACGGGAAGTTCTGGAATATTTGTATTCATTTGTATTCCTTATCGATATAGTGTATTAATATTTCGTTGTAAAAGCTTTGGCAGCAATGACAGCAGCACAACGTCTCGGCATAGAATTGACCAAGTTTTGACACCTTTCCCGTGGAATACTGCTCCATGATTCTTGAATGGTGGCCCAGAGCTCCTGATTAATCCTTGGTTTTGCATTGGAAACATATTTTTTTACATCAGACCAAAGATTCTCTATCGGGTTTAAGTCTGGAGACTGAGCAGGCCAATCCATTAGGTGAAGGGATCTGTCTTGAAACCACTTAGGAGCTTTCTTGCTGGTATGTTTAGGGTCGTTATCCTGTTGGAAGACCCACAACAACGGTATTTCGTATTCTGCATAAGACAGCATCACTGTTAGCAAAATATCGCAATAGACATGTTGATCCATAATACCTTTTATCCAATGTATTGGACCCACTCCGTAATAAGAAAAGCATGCCCAAACATCCTATGGTCGGATGAAAGCAAAATCGTGCTATTTGGAGGAAGAGGATCTCGATCCTATGTACGGCGACCCCCCAATTCGGAATACCGCCCAAGTTTCACCTGCAAGACCATAAAACACGGTGGAACGAGTATCATGGTTTGGGCATGCTTTTCTTATTACGGAGTGGGTCCAATACATTGGATAAAAGGTATTATGGATCAACATGTCTATTGCGATATTTTGCTAACAGTGATGCTGTCTTATGCAGAATACGAAATACCGTTGTTGTGGGTCTTCCAACAGGATAACGACCCTAAACATACCAGCAAGAAAGCTCCTAAGTGGTTTCAAGACAGATCCCTTCACCTAATGGATTGGCCTGCTCAGTCTCCAGACTTAAACCCGATAGAGAATCTTTGGTCTGATGTAAAAAAATATGTTTCCAATGCAAAACCAAGGATTAATCAGGAGCTCTGGGCCACCATTCAAGAATCATGGAGCAGTATTCCACGGGAAAGGTGTCAAAACTTGGTCAATTCTATGCCGAGACGTTGTGCTGCTGTCATTGCTGCCAAAGCTTTTACAACGAAATATTAATACACTATATCGATAAGGAATACAAATGAATACAAATATTCCAGAACTTCCAGTATTTTTTTCGTTTTTTTTCGTTTTCTTAAGTTATTTTTGAAATAGTGCTATTTTTGTTGCCGCCTAAAATGTTCAACGTTCACATTCTTAATGTAAATATTTCAATTTCATGTTATTATCGACGACACTTGCAGTGTATTTCGATAAATTAGAGCCTAAAGTAAAAATAAAAGCCTTAAACAAGTTAAATATATGAATAGTTATAAAACAAATAATCAATGAAGAAAAATATATGTCATAGTGCTATTTTTTTTGCCGCAGCTGTATGTATGTACACATTTCTTAAAGGCCGTATGAGATTAGTATTATCAAAGAAACATTTTTTTCATTTATTTAAACTCAATTGATTCTAAAAACGGCAAACAGCATTTCTCCTCACAAATGTTCGTCCCCTTTATTCAGGTCAAGGATAAGAGTTATGTAGTAATATCTTGAACTTCAATGCGAAAGCCCCTTAACCTTCCCACTCATCTAATATTTGAACTTTCTTCGAAACAGGCGCCATTAAGCGCATTCTGAACTTGGCGGACGCCATGTCCAGGGGGATGTTCTTTGCCCAAACTTGACAATGGAAAAATACGTCGTGGTTGGGCGGAATCTCAGAGACTTGGACACCGATGAAGCGGCTTAGGGCAGGATGGTCTTCCTCACCATGATCGTGGTTGCTGAAGGAGGCTGTTTGCGTGGACAATTCATTTATTTTGAAGAAACGGTGCGGAATATAGTTGATGTTGACTTTTATATCGCTATCACGAACACTGCAAGACACCCAGATGCGGTTAGTTCGCAGATCTCTAGGCCGCGATATCACGTAGTAAAACAGATCATCCGGGGCATGTTCCGGCAGTTCCAAAGCAGAGTCGTAGGTTATTGGTTTGAAGCCCAGCGTATTGGTGAGTTTCAGTAAAATGCAAGGCCTACCGGTGGCATAGCCCCAGAAGAGGTCCGTGTTACAGCCCGTCATACGGATTTCTCCGATGACACCGAATGGGTCCAAATGACGCTCTATCTCCCGTCGAAAAGCGCCAATCTCCTTGAGGAGGCTGACGCCCCACTCAATACGTTTCTCGCCGCCCACGAGCGTTCCGGGCACTGTGCAGAGTCCGGGTACCTTGGTCACTGCCGGCCTGTCAGGCGGAATGCGGAAGTGCATCACCAAAACCACCATTATACCCGTAACCACTGCCAGCAGCCCAACAAAGATTATGAGGTAGACCACGAATTTTGTGATGCGACACATGGTAATTGGAGGCGGCGGCCGGTAGAATCGACGGGAACGGCGCTGAATGTACTCCTGCACCCGCCGATCGCGACGGCGTCGAAGGCGATCAACCTCGTAGACACCAGAGTACACTACGGCTGAATTCGGCATGTGTGTGTGCTGAGAATGTATATATGGGAAGCTAGAGGTTTGTAGAAAAACCTGCTGGGTTCGATTTTTTGTCGATATTAAAGTAGCTGATATTATAAAAGAAGAATGAAACTTTTCCAAGACGTGTTCAAATTTGATAAAAGGCGCTAAAATATTATCGAGAAATCAATATATAAGTTCGAGTAGCCCTGGTTCGAAAAGTCTGGTATTTTTGGTCGCTCGTTCAGCGTTACCAGACTTCGCGTGAACGAGCGACCAAAAGTACCAGATCGTCGTGAGCAATAAAAATTCTATCGTTTTTAGAATAAATATCGATAAACCGATACTTCGATATGTTATCGACAACCGTAAACAAAAACAAACAAAATACAGCGAATATGAACGAACACCACATTGCGGCCCCGCTGAACCGCATCCCGGGCACCAGCCAGGTGAAGGAGCAGCACTGCAAGGACTTGAAGAGCCTCACCCGCGTGCAGTTGCTGGAGATGAGGGACAGGCAGGGGCACTACATCTCGTCCACGTGAGTTCCCTGTCCACCTGTGGAGCTTACACTTACTTTCCCGCTTTTTCCGAGCCAGTAAGCGCCTCCAGCAGTTGCCGGACAAGGGCAAGCGTCTGCTGGACTCGTACGCCGGCCTCCTGGACGAGATCAGGCGTCGGGATGAAGTGGAGGAGGCCACCCGGCTCCTCAGCGGTCTCAACATTGCGGCGAAGGGAAAAGTGGCCCTAAACAATCTGGAGTGGAACGGCAGGACCCTGGATGAGGGTGCCCATGTGGACGACATACTGGACAGCGACGACGAGGAAGAGATGGATCCCCTGCGAATCATCGCCCAAGGCACCATGCATGAAAAGCGAGTGAAAGTGCTGCCCCCGCCCGAGAGCCTCATTACGGCTGCGGATCTGGCAGACATCGAGGAGCTCAAGAAGCCTGCACACTCCCCGGATTCCGCCCTTGCCGGTCACAGCGACACTAGTTCACAGCCGGCTGAGATCATAGAGCAAGGACTGCCCAAGGAGCAGCGCGTCGACCAGCACGCCCTTTATCTTATCGACAAAACAGAGGGGAGCGCCAATCCGCCGGCCAGGGAGAAGTTTAGACCCTTTCGCACCACGACATCCAATGTCCACGATCCCGACAAGGAGCGGGTGCGCAAGAAGGGCAAGCACTGGGAGGTGACGGCGGCCACTCCCCCGCTAATTCAGCACAAGGAGGTGCAGCTGGTGCCCTTGGCGGAGTCTGCCGCGCTCCAGCTGGACTTTATGCAAAAGATCAAGGTGGGCTTGTAGGCAATTTTCCTCGAAATACCTTTATTAAACACTAATTCGCAGGAGTTTCGCATGCAGCAGGCCGAGCAGCGGCTGGCCAAACAGACTGAGTCAAGGAACTATCCCGATGAAGGCGTCATCAAGACAAAGGAATCCTTCCGCCACTATCGCAACCCCCAGCCACACTTTCTCATCGAGGGCAGGCCAGGGGCCAACGAGTCCCATGAAGTGCAGGATCCGACGATCCAGGATAAGGCAACAGCCACTGGCGGCGGCATTCACTACACAGTTTTCGAGTAAGCGCGTTCTGTGTTTTTTCCATTAAACAAACGTTGTGAACTATTTATTTGGCGTAGGCAACAATTACTAATTAAGACTAAAACTACCAGCAAAACTCACTAGGTGCATGTGCTCTTTAAATCGAATAGAACTGGGTGGCCGTGGAGGCCTGTAGCTCGATTTGCCCCATCTTAAACTGGAGGCGCTGCAGCCACTTCAGCAGTGCCTCTGACTTGAGGGCCTGCTGCTCCTCGTAGTCCGGAGCATAGTCCCGCACGTTCTGCAGACGGACGTGCAGCGTGTCCGAGAGTTGGGTCTGCGAGGAGAGCACGGGACTCCACATGGGCAGCAGCTTGCCCAGCACCGTTGAGTTGGTGTCCTTCAGGGCCTCCAGCAGGCTGAGGAAGTGCAGGTTGACCATCTCGGACAACTTGGAGTTGGCGCTCTGCGTCTGGAAGTCCATGGTGGTAGGCTGCTGATCCTTGTTGACGGTCGGCTTGGCGTGGGAAACCAGCTGCAGGATGCAGGGCGTAACCTTTGCCCAGAACTCGAAAAGCACTCCCAGCGTGCTGCCCTCCGCATTGCTGTTGGTGTTATGGGCCATCTGCTCCAGGTAGACCGTCCACAGCTGGCACAGGGTGAAGGCATGGAAAAGCGAGGACATGTGCAGCACCGAGGTCTTCGACTGCTCCGCGAATCCGGCGAAGATCACCTGAATGTGATCTGCGATGTGGCAGGAGGCCTCCTGCGGCACTGGCTGCGAGTATGTTACTCCTTGGTGCTGATAGTGGACACCAGCCGATCCCTGGCCGGGCGCCAAGTTGGGGGGCAGGGGCGTGGGTATGGTGTGTGTCTCTTGGCGACGCTGCATCAGTGCCATGTGGGTAAGGGAGCCGAGTAAGAGCCAAGATAGCAGGCGCATGTGGCCCACGCACTCGGTGAACTCCTTGGGCCTGAGAGAGGATCAAATCAAGGATAATTCCGAAGGTGGCACCCTGAGTGTGGACTTACCCCTGCTGCAGGGAGGACGGAGCATTGTTCAGCCAGGGCAGATAACGGGAGACCGCCTTGTTGTCCCGGGAGTTGCCCCGCGACATCTCTAGGGCCAGGTATTGGGCCACCGCTCCCTTAAGGACCCCACCCAGGGTGTCCTCACCGAGTCCATTGCTCGCCTGGCCATTCTTAAAGTTCTGAAATTGTGGCGATAGATTTTCGACAATTGGAATTTAGTTGCCAGAGGGCTCTAACCTTGATCTTGCTCAGCGTGTGGAAGTCGGCCAGAAAGTCAATCACGTCGTTGATGTACTGCCTCAAGCAATCGGCTGCATTGGTGGTCAGCATGGGAGCCGCATCGGGCAGGCCAGGAGCAGATCCCGGTGGTAACGTGCCGCCGGCATCGAGCAGCACGAACCCGACGATCGTGAGGAGATTATGGTCCGGGATGTTCGACTTGAACTTGAGGGCCTGGACAAACTCGAAGATCATCTGGCGGCACAGGAGGTTCTTGTCGCGGTCCTTGCTGAAGGAGCGGGTGTTCAGGGTGCACAGCTCGTAGAGGGTCTGGTACTCGAGGTTCGTGTGCTGGACGCAGTAGGCCATGATCTTGGAGTACGGATCTAGCAGCGTCTTCGGCACACAGTTTAGCCTCAACGTGGCCGCGATTATGTCCAGCATGTACTCGGCATTGCTCAGGCTGGGCATGATCACGATCACTTGGCGCAGCAGCGACTCCATTGCCTGCATTGCTTGCGACCAGACCGCCAAGCCCACGCCTGCCTCGGCCGGCACGCACTGCAGGTTGAGGTACTCGGCCATGTTGCGGAAGATCACGGGCAGCTGGTCGACGGGCAGCGCCTTCTTGGAGGTCAGTGATTCGCACACCATGTAAATGGGGCTGGTGGCATTCAGATCCTGGAAATCCTGCAGCGCCTTGGCAATGCTCCGGAAGTGATTGTGGCGTATTTTCACTGGAATTAGGAAGTAGGAGAGGTTCAAACCATGCACTAGGCTCTCGGTTATTACTCACTCTTCATTTGGGTCTGGAACACCTGCAGGAAGATGCCGTTGGGGGCCAGCTGGTGGAGAATGCAACGGAAGAATTGGAGGGCCACCGCTTGGGCACTGCTGGCCAAGGGTGGGCCATTCTCGCCCTGCCAGGCATGCGTGCAGCTCAGACAGATGCTGGACGGTAGGGTGGAGTTCCAAGTTTAAGAAGGAAGTCAAAATCTGATGTGGCCTCCACTTACCGCGAAGTCATGGTCAGAATTTCGGGCAGGAACGGTGCTGCCATAGCGGGTTCACGGTGGATAAATGTGCCCAGGATCACGATGAAAATGCCGATCTCCTCGTCCGTGTACTCCTCAATGTGGGCACCACAGTCCGAGCAGCGCTCTACGATGGTGTAGTCGCCCACCCGGCGGGAACTTTGCTGGTTGGCGGATTTACGGAATACGTTTCTTGGTTATTTCTAGTTATATCAGAATTCCAATGTGGGAGAGACTTACCCCACGTGCGGCATGCGAAGTGGACTGCGCTCCATGCCCATTTGTGGTTTCGGCCCCGATCTCATCCCCATCGTCATCGGGCTCGGGGTCCACGGGTTGAAAGGGTGGCGGAGGCCAGGAGCCCGCGTAGCGAGAACGTATGTCCGGAATGGCGTTGGTGTCCACATTGAAGGGCGCCAGCTTCTGGCGGGGTCGCTTGATACTGTTGCTGGTGGTCAGGCCTCCGCCGCCGTTGGCTCCCGCATTCTGCTTGAGCTCCTGCTGAACGTTCTTCAAGATGGAGGTGTGCAGATCTGCCGAGGGCTGAGAGGGCAGCTGGGCATTCGGGTTTGGTGGTGACTCCAGGGCCACCTGCTTGATGAGGCGTCGGGGGGAGTTTGTACGGCTGCTGGGCGTCACGTCGTCCTTGGTGCTCTCCGACACATCCAGACTGTCCTGTTTGAGATGACTGATATCCGGGATGTTGAGGCCATCCCTTACCCGCTCCACCAGCGTTGCCACCGAGTCCTGGGTACCAATGGGCAGCAAACGCTCCGGAGTGGGTATCTCCAGGGCGGCAATGCTCTTGGGTGGGGGCAGGCTCTGCATTCCCTCGTCCACCTCGTCCCTTGGGTTCGGCATCACGCTCATCTTGGACAGCGGCGACTCCGGCGAGCCGTAGTTCTTGTCTGTGCGCTTTAGCGACTTGGTTTGCGACTTCTTTTGCCGCGAGTCATCCGCCGAGGAGCTCGAGTTCCCGGCACTGCACTCCACTATTGTCTTGTGCCGTCCAATTGGTTTGGCAGTCACAGTAGGAGCTGTGGCCGAGGATGATGCCTGGACGGCAGCCGGAGCACTGCCTCCACTGCCATTGCCGTTGGCCGAACGGCTGCCACTGCCGCTACTGGATCCTGCCTTCCTGTCTACCGTCGCCGCTGTCGGCACATCTTGAAGGGCGCCCAGGGCCTTGAGATGATTTGTGGCAATGGCGGCGAACATCTTAGAGGTGGAGGCGGCGGCGTTCTCGAGTGATTTGTTGCGCACGGTCACCGCCCGATGGACGTCAACCGGAGGACTCACAATGGCCGTCTCCGTGGTCTCTGCTCCCACCAGAGGGGTCACGATCATGCGTACGCCCTCCTGCAGGCTGTGCCTCGTGTGGGTCGTAACCAGGGTCTCGCTGGTGGTGGTGGCCTTGATCTTGGTTGTATACGTATCGCCCACCTTGGTGGTGATCATCGACTTGTGAGACTTGGTGGATTTCTGAAAGGATTGCAATTGTGTTTATATATAGTATACATAGAGTCAGACTTCGGGCTTACCTCCTCGGTGTACTCAAGGGTTCGGCGATTGCGCGGCATTACATCCTCGAAATGAATGGTGTCGTCAAAGGATCCCTGAAATGTAAGGAAATTGATCATAAAATTTTAAAATTTTTAGTTATGAGAACTGGACAGCTACCGGGGCACTGCTGCCATGTAGAGTGCTGTCGGAGAGATCGCTCTCGGGTATGGCCACTAGCTCCGACTCCGTCTCGTCCGCATCCAGGCTGGAGTCATTGTACTTTCGGAAAGCGTGCTGCAGCTTGGGTGTGAATGCCACGTTCTGGCCTTTGCTCTTGGAGGCGGCACTAGTGCCCTCCGAGGGGAACATGGGGCTGGCCGGCGGACTGGCCTCCTTGTCGTCCGGATCGGTGCCCAGCGAGGGCTGGCTGACGTCCCGTGAGCGAGCGGCTCCGCCCACGCCCTGTATGTCCAGGATTGTGGTAGTGGGGATCCGGCGGCACTGGTGGAAGTGGCCGCGCAGGCTGTTCATGATCATGCGGATGGCCGAGATAACGTAGCCACTGAGAGGCGGCTGGGTGTAGGAGTACTTGTAGAGCACCACCAACAAGGTGAAGAGCCAGTTGCGGCGCGGGTACTGCTCCAGGTGCCACAGCGAATAGTTGAAGACGATGTTCTGGTACTCTCCAGTGGTGCTGGTCGGATTGGGGGCATAGAGAATGATCTGCATAACCGAGGGAAGGATGAGGCCACCAATCAGGTGGTTCTGGTCCAGAACCTGCGGCAGGTTGGCCAAAAAGGCGTTGAACACGGCCGAGACCCTGAGAAATGAAATGTTAGTTTCATAGTTTAACTTCTTCCGACTCCCACCTTAAAGACTCCGGTGTTGTGTGGAAGGACTTGTCGATCTGGTTGTGGCCGAGCAACAGAAAAAGATGCTTCAGGACAATATTTTGGGTCTTGGTCACGGGCTTATCCTCCGAAGGGAATGCCTGATCCGTGCGAGACATAAACTGCATGAGCATAAAGACCAGAAGATGAATGGTTTCCCGGTCGGACTCCTCCAGCTCCGTGATCCTCGACAGCAAGCCGATGAGGTTGTCATCGTTTAAGCCGCCCAGCGAGTGGATGTGACCATCTATTTGGAATTTGAAGAATATGATCTTGTTAGAATCGAAATTATATTGCGAAAAATGTACATCTGCTTAGGAAGGAGAAGGGAAAAACACCAATATCTTTTTGTTTTTTCTTTTTTTTTTGGTTTTCATTTACAGCCACATGCCAATTTCACAATTAGATTGATTTTCTTATTTGTAGATTCAAAAATTTGTACGAGTCTTGTATAATGTACAGTGAAGTCTCTGTTGAGCAAAGGCCAATAGGAATTAATTTAAAATTTTGGTGGGGAGAGAGAGGAGACAGAAAGAGAGGTGGAGGATGGAAGAAACACATTGTTCTTTGGTAGAGAGAGAGGTCCGCGATAGAGATGTTGAGCATACGTACCAGTTCGAGGGGGGAACACACTTAAAATGACATTTTGGATAAAAGCAGAGTTACACACACAACTATATGTGAACGAATACATATTATACACAGATAATAAATATATATGGTATAGATCAGCAATTAGATGGTTAATAATGTCCTGTTGGTATGTTTATATAATATATACTAGTATTTTGTATGTTTGTTTTTCATGCACTTCAGTCTGCATTTAAAAATAAGTAAGATTGTCTTATAGAAATAATCAAATAAGTAGTTTTATATAGTATAATTAGTTCAAAAGAATAATGATAACTCGAGAGCTAGAAATTCTCAAGTCTGAATTCTGTAACCACGTAAAAGTGTTATAATGTTTAATACTAATGTCAAGCTCAATATATTATAATATAATAGTGCAAAATAATGTTAATTTCAAAAGGCAAACGAAAAAAATAATGAATTTGTTGGTAAATAAATTTATTTTAACTAAATCTCTCATTCTGATTTGATCGTTATAAGAATTCGATTGATTTTTATACACTGAACAAGCCAAATGAACACCGACAATTAGAGGATATGCCACCCACAAGGAACATTTAATGAAAACTACATATATTGCAATAAGATAAATTTAGGAAACCTCTAAGATAAATTCCGTTTCAATATAATATTTAAAATTTTTTTTTTGTAACGAGTCCTAAAGTTCCATTATACAAATAAAAACTACAAATCAAAGAATGAATAAATTGTACAATTGAAAAGGTTCGATTCTTTGACTATTAGGACCTCACAAACACTACTTTCTATATAAAATATCTTTTACAAACTCCAGTCAAGATCCCAGATCCCTTGTGAGTGGCACACCACACATTATTTTCTCCGCTAAGACACCGATCATCAGACATCACTGAGGGAAGGGGTCACACAGAGCAAACACAGAGACACGGTGGACACACATGCTCTAGCACCTACCTGGGTTCGCCGTGCCGCCGGTGGCCGCCGCACCCGAGAGCTGGGGATGCGAGTGGGGTGCGGCATCGCAGGTGCAGTGCAGGGGGAAGGCCAGAGTCGAGGGGCTGGGACTGGGGGCCGGCACGATGGCTGGCTGCGGGGGCAGCAAATTGGGGGCCGACGGATGCTTTTGGAAGTGGGAGTGGAAGGAGTGGGGGGTATTGGGATTCCCAGTGCTGCTGCTGACTCCCGCAGCTGCTCCCGTTCCTGCCGCTTCCGCTGCCTCCTGGGCGGATGATCCGCTGGCTGCGGCTGCATCGGCGGCCGCCTGGGAGCGCAGCAGCGTCTCCGCCTCCTGCAGCGTGGGCATCGGACTGTGGTGACTGGGCGGCACGCAGTGGACTAGGTACTGGTGGCTCTGGCTGTGCGCCGAGACCATGCCGGCGGAGGAGGAACTGGTGGCTACGTGTGCATTACTACCGGCATGATGATGAGACAGGTGGTGGTGGTTCTGAGGGTAGGAGTGGTGTGGGTGTGGGTGGGCGTGAGGGTGCGGGTGGTGATGGTGGTAGGGAAAGGCCGTGTGGTGGACGGGACAAGGCGGCGGTTTGGGTCGTGTGGCGCCCGCTGCCGTTGCTGCTGGATTCGCCGCCTGGCTGCTGCCAGAGGCACCCCCACTACTACTGCCCAGGAACTGACCCAGTCCGAAGCGCGAGGTCTTCCGCTTGAGGATCGGCGCAGACACCTGCCGGCTGTAGATCTTCTCTTTCTCGGGCACTGCAAGGTGAGAGGGAGTATCTCTATTATTGTTGGATTCCCTTCCATCCGCTAAGATGAGCTTACCAAACTTGCTGTCCTGACGAGGCGCCATGCTAGCGGGAGCGGACATGGTCCGCTTGTAGGGCCACTTTGTGCCGAAGGAGGCGCTCAGCGTCTTGGCCATGCTGCCGCTGGTGTCCGACTGGTTCAGCGCCTCCCGGGCCTTCTGGATCTTGGCCGAGAGCGCCTCGCTGCCATTGTCCGAGTTGCGCAGGTCCCGCAGGTACGAGATGTCGCCGCATTTCTCCAGGCTGATCTGCGCCTCCACGAAGAGCGTGTCGAAGCGGTTGAGGAAGAACTCCCAGCCGAGCATCTTGCGGTCGGAAAGCGAGTTGTGTAGCTGGTAGACCGACTGGAGTACCACCGGCCGGTCCACGATGAAGAGATCGAACTGCGACTCCAGGCAGAAGAGCAGCGACCGTATTGCCGTGTCATGGATGGTCCCGATGTACAGGGTCGCCCGCTGCGCCACATACACATTGATGTCGTCCATGCTGGCGATCAGGTGGCAGAAGGCGGTGGCCAGCGCCGTCTGCAGACCCACCTCGGAGCGCAGGGGCGTCGAGTCCATGAACCGGGTAATCACGGTAACGCGTTCCACTGCCGTGAATCGGACACGCCAGTCCGTGTCGTGGAAGGCCTCCTGCACCACGCGCCAGAAGACATCGGAGCCCAGTGGCAGCGTGATGCAGTGCAGCAGCAGGGGCACGCCCACCTGACAGATGTGCGAGTGCTCCGCGTTGCACAGCTCCCACAGGCTGGGGGAATTTCTCAGTAAATAGTTTTCCTTGGGGTCGGGTTTTCACTCACTTCTTGATCAGCAGATTCTCCTGGCACCAGATGAAGAAGCCTCGCTGCTCCCGAGCAGCCTTGGCCAGGGCATCGCCATGAAGGGCCATCGTGTTGAGGCACTGCAGCACGTAGTACAGGATCTCCGGCTTCTTGATGGTAGGGATTTCCTGTGGATGAGAGCCATGTAAGGAGAGATCTCGCTATTGGTTCCAGTAAGGGCGAAACTCTTTCTTGATCTCCCGATTGAGGTATATCTCATAACGATTAAGGGTTTATAACAATATCAAACAATAATGTCCATACCGTCAGGAGCTGATGAATATACTGCAAGGGCTGGGGCAGCGTGTCCAGCGTGAACTTGAACTTGCCGACGGAGGTGTGCCAGAAGTCGTCGCTGTCCTCCTCCTCCTCGTCCTCCTCAGAGCCGCTGCCATTTTCGCCACCGCCGCATGCTGCGCCGCCATTGGCACCGTTTTCGCCCATGACCGAGGCCCGGGTCACGCTGACATTGGCGCTGACCACGTCCGCGTCCGAGAGGATGCGGGCTATGGCCCGGTCGGTGGGCAGGATGGAGGCCAGGTCGAGCTGCTCTGAAACTGTCTCTACCGTGGCCGTCATGATCTGCACGAGACAAGGGGCACGGGATTAGCTCTCGGGGACTCGGGCCGTGGCTCTACACAGGTTTACATCGTATATATACACGGGTATACGTGGTGTGTGCGGTACGTTACATTCCTTATAAACAACACATTAAGATAAATGCAATGTTCGGGGAGCTTCGACATTTCATTTACACTCCTCGGGCCGTCTCAAGACGAGTCTCGGTTAGGTAACAAAAAGGTTTACATCAAAATTTGTACAGAACACACTTAAAATTGCAAAAAACTCGATACATTTTCGGTGCATTGCTGTGAATAATATTTATAATATCTTTTATGTCTCTGGTGGTGGCTGGGGCAGGGGTGACAGTGCTGTACATTGAGCATGCTTTCCAACAATGAACAAATTAGGAGAAGTATGTGAACAAATTAGCACGGAACGCAATATTTACATGTTAACAAAGGGATGTCAAATTGAGACTGACAAATAAAAGGTACATTTAAGAAATTAGTTTTTCGATTTTGTTCGCTTTGCGATAACTTGTAATTTATTTTCACACACATACAAGATACTTTGAGACACAGTAGTTGAATTAACAAAACTAGTAATAAAAACGATGAGTAAAGAATCTATTATTCTGGTAAAAAGCTCGTCAGTGGAGGCTTTCTCAAAAGAAAATGCCTTTCCGATGCCATGTAAGATGTCTTTCGGCCTAGTCTTCTCCTCTACTAACGATTACACGTAGCCACAAAAATAAAAGATTATACGTTCAGAAATCAAGGACACTTTACTGCTTTCTAGATTGGTAATTCCTTGGCCTAGATTTCAGCTAAATGCCTCTAAGGCTAACTAAAATTTAGAAACTCCACTAGAGTGCTTTAACGATTCCGCTAAGGCTGCATTTAAAATAAACTTCAATAAAAATATCATGGCTATCAAGTTAAACGATAAATAAAACTTAATCAATAGCAGGAAAATACTCTGTACATTTATTTACACTTAACACGAAGATTACAATTTTGACTGGACATAAACAAGTATATATATTGAAAAAAGAATTATACAATTATCGAATCGGAGGAGGGTTCATAATTGGGCAAATGAGGAAACTCAAGATCAAAACAAAGTTGTATAGCTTTTGTTGGTTGAATTGTTTGTCTTTTTGTTGGGTATTTCTTTTTAAGAATGCACAAAGTACCTCGTCTGTGGCGTGAACTTTTCTCAATTCATTACTATCAACTGAATGCCCATATTCGTTATTCTATAAAAAATATGTGAAGAAATGAAAACGTTTGTAAAATCGTTGGACAATTATCGATGGTCAATTGTTGGGAAATGAAAACGCTGAATTGGAATTTGTGTTACGGAACAACACAAGATCAAATGAAACAGACTGTGTGTCGAGGAAATAAAACAACTGGAATGCTCACTTCAACTTAGTATTGCTTTGTTGCTGCAATTAATTTGAATATTTATAGCAAATATATAGAGTAGATATGTTTAGGTGTAGAGTGTTTCAATATACCTACAGTCAACGCATAATATTTGAGTTAAATTTCTTTTTTTTTTCTTATATTTTTGTATGTTGTGTGTAAAGAACTTTTAAATTCGATTATGGTCGTCAATAAAAGAGTGACAACTAAAGAACATAATGTGTCTAAGGATTACTTATGAGCGAAATACATACTGAACAGACGTGGGGCATGTGGACGAGCACTCCGCCTACGGAGTGGGGTTCTGGCTGCGGAACGGCCACCGGCACAGGACCTTTGTAAAGAAAAGTAGAGAACGGGATTAGAGTCGGAACCGGGCTGATCGGGAGGCGAGTCCAGCTAAAAATGAAGTTGGCTTAGTGGTCAACATAGAACTGATTGGCATTCACAAATAGGTCATGCATCCAAGTACATACACATAGAAATCCTGTGTGGAACAAACGAATTTCTCCGAAAGTATCTCATGCACAACTTTCCAACAAGTGGTTTCATTTACTGCCAATGGGGGGATCTACGCGGATCGTATATTAACGTTAAGGATTTTCAACAATTTGAACTAAGTACCGCCTACCGAGAAATCATACTTCGCTTAAAGAAATCAGACAGTGTAATGTTGTATTCTGTGCTTTTAGTGTTACGACTTAAACTCGCAGTTCTGTGTGTCGGGAAGGGAGTTCAACCGAGCCGAGGGAAGATCGATCTTTGGCAAAACGGAACTTAACTCACTAGGGACGGTACGGTCAAGCTACAGAGGTCTACTGGATATAAGCTTGGTTATTCTAAATCAAATAATCTAGGAATGCTAAACAGTGATAGAGAGAGCTGTTCATTTGTTACGCGATCTTTTAGGTAATACTAAAGAATCCTTGTCGTTGGGTTATTATATTGTTCACTATGATACTTTATTACATAGGGCTAGCGATTACGTAATATATGAACAGCTCCTGGAGAGTTGTGTGTGTGAGATAGAGTTGAGTGATCGAGCGAAACTATTGTTGTCTTTTTCTGTGTGACGTTTCTGTTTGTGTCGTAATGTTAGGTTAATAAAAGATTGTTGGTTTGAGTTGAGTAACGAAATCGAAATGTTGCAACAAATGCTTCATAATGTAATGTTAATTTGTAATTGTATTCTTGATTTTTGGTTTTTTTATTTTTTTGTTTTGGTTTTGTAACGAATGAAAAATTTGCTGTTGGTGCATCACCTGCCATTATAATAATTTTTCCATCGTCTGAAAAGAATTGATCTAGCTTAAAGATATCTGATAATGATTGATAGAGTTTAAATTTAGTTTGGTATTAGTTTTGCAGTTTTTCATGAGTCGACATTGGTTTGTAGGCATTATATATTGGGCATAGACGAGAAGTTTTCGATAGTGTGACAGAGACAGACAGTTTCGTACGCGCGGAATAGGGTGCGAGCGAGCGAGCGAAAGAGAGAGACAGCGTTAGTTATGTTATTTTTGTACAGTACAGGCAGACGCGCAGTAGAATATGTTAGAGATAGAGAGAGAGAAACAGATATACATATTTATGTAGAGAGAGATAGCAAGATAGACAAATAGTTATGGTTGAAACAGATAAATACAGGTGATGGGATGGTGGGTTTGATGGTTGCCTCACGATGATGATCTTTTAGATGGTTGTTAATTCATACTTCTGGGTTCGTTTTAGTCTGGGGATTGTTTAGCTGGGTCAAGTAAGAAGTTTACAAGGCATAGCAGTGCAGGTTACTAGTTGTAGGTTGTAACAAAGTTCGGTTTGCACCTTAACGTGGGTTTTAGGCTAAATCGGGCTGTTTATAGGGACAGGACGCTGGACGGCTCGACGGGGCGAGCCGTCACTCCATACCATCCGCCCGAATTATGTATTATATTTTATAAATGTATGCTCCATTCTGAAGTACTGTCTACAATTAGCTACTTTTTGTGACGTTTCACTGCTTTACTGTTACGGTGGGAACTTTATTTATAGGTGGATTTTTGTGGGTTTTGGGATAGAAACTTTGGCGGGTCTTTGCAGACGGTTTATATGTTACAACCGGGATTCGTATCGGGGGCTTTAGATAAGACAGTGGGCTTCAGAAAGTCTTGGATTTACCTGCAAATCCTCCGAGGGGTCCCAGTGGGATCGGAAGCGGTGCCATCGAGAGGGAAACATCTCGATCACGGGTCTTTTCCTTGTCGGATTCGGGCGGAGACTTGCGGGAAGACTTCTCCTCCTCGATGATGTCCTCGATGGGAACCTATAACAACGTTAATATGAAGACAAATCCAGAAGTCTAGAGCTTTGACGTACATCTGGTGGCCTGACAGGGTTCAGGGGAGCCATGAACTGGACCAACTTAGTGGAGAGCTGGTGCCACATGATCGAGGCCTCGCAGTAGGCACACTCCGCGACCTGCAAATTGTTTTAGAAAGATTTACGCATTTAATATATTCATATTATTCATAATTTAAATTCCAAAAAACCTTCAGGGCGCAGACATGGCTGCTGAGGCCCACACGAGCAGCTGTAACCATGCACTTGATCAGCCGCGAGACGTTCTCGCAGACGCTCGTGTGGATGCCCATGTGCTGCTCCACGTCCTGCAGCTCCATCTGCTTCAGCAGAATGTCCAGCATGAGGATGCAGCAGGTGAGGTTGTGCTCGGCGTCCGTGGAGAATTCCGTGTGGCGATTAGTGGGCGCCTCGTCATCCGAAATGGCAGATGTGTTGCCGGAGTCATCCTCCACGACAGGAGCTGTGAAAGAAGAAAATCTATTAGTTGACTGGAGGCCCCACATCGCCCTTGACTGGCTCACAAATGGAACTGCGCCTGGGGGGATTGGCCATGTCCGCCTTGGTCTCTTTGCTCTCCTTGCATGGAGTCTTGGGGGCCTTGGCCTGAGACTGGGCGTCCTTCTCGCGCATCAACTCGTGCTGGATGCCGTACTTCATGATGCGCACTCCGTCCCCGAACATGGCGAAGAGCTGCACCAGGGGGATGAGAATCTCCAGCTTCGTGAGGATCTGCAGCCAGTGGAGGGCCTGCTGCTGCACCTTGGCCGTGGTCTTCTCGAATCGTATGGCCACAAAGTTGTACATGGTCTTCGCGTCAAAGCCCAGCGGCGACATCTCCGGATCGAGGATCTTGCTCAGCACAATCTTCAGCTCGTTGAGCTCCTTCTCGGCTACGTCGTTGGTGATGGCCTCCATCCAGTGCGGCATGACGTAGTCCCAGATCTCGGAGGTGATCACCTCGTACGGCACCAGGCAGATCAGCCGCTGAAGTCCCTCCTTCAGGTGGCTGGTACGCGACGCCAAGGTCTCCCAGTGGCCACCGACGCGAGCGTACTCGGGCGGATGGGGCAGGAGGCAGGAGATGAAGACGTTGTAGTGGATGCGACAGATCTCCTTCAGCCAGTTGCACACGTGATCGACCTTCAGCTTCTCAATAGTACTCTCCACCTGACCGGCAGCTGAAAGAAATCATTAGTAAAGGCCAATTGGGCTCGGCCTGGTACTTACCGTCGTACGAATAGGCGGTGACATGGAACCAGTGGAAGAGCATGCTCAGGATCCTGCCCAGCACCTCGACGGGAGTGTCGGCGGTGGGAGTGCAACGGCCCACCAGCAGCCAGATGCCATAGCGGCCCAACCGCTGCCGTTCCTCGAGAGAAATGTTGTCGGCGGTGAGCGCGGAGCCGTTCTTCTTGGCATCGGACGACGAGGACTCCTTGCCCGGCTCGAAGTTCAGCGGCTTAGCCTCGCGCAGCAGACTCACCACCGACTCGACCATGTGCATCTGCATCTCGGGGTCCATCTGCCACGCGGGCTGTAGGCTGCGGTGCACCACGTGGTCCCCGCCACGGCGGGAGTTGTGCCTGTTGCTGTGGCACTGGCTGCAGTAGCGGATGGGATGGTTGCCGTTGAAGCTGGCGCATTCCGTGGAGAAGCAAATGGAGAAGGCGGACTTCTCGTTGGAGCGACAATTCTTGTTCTCACAGACCATGGACACTTGCTGCATGGGATGGAGAATGTCGCCGAACTCGAGGCTGCCGTGCTCGCGGTGGATCTCGTTGGCGCACTCGATGCACAGGTAGAGAGGCGGCGGGCAGTCCGGTGCATAGGTGATGCTGATGCTGTGGTCGTAGCACACCTTGGCTGCCTCCGCGTTCCCGGCGTTCGGACAGTGCTCCCGCTGACAGGTGAAGGGCACCAGGTCGTCTGAGAATTAATTTTATAGAGTATAAGGTTGAAAAATCAATATAAAGATAACATTTTTATGTACATATATATATAATGGAAATTTTAAAGTGAAATCTAAAGGGAAATGTTCCCTGGAAAATGTCTTTTAATTTATCGTTATATCAAAAGACTTATTAGAGGTATCTACTCACTAGTTAGTTTCGAAAGCAGGACTTTCCGGTCAAAGAGATTGGCGTCGAAGGCGGGCCAGTAGTAGAAGAGCAGTTTGGCGGCCGAGGATCGGGAGACAGCGGTGCCGTAGGCCACCACGCAGAGGATGTCCTTGACCACGTTGTGCTTGAGGGTCATCAGGCACTCCAGCAACTGGCAGTGGTGGGCCGGGTTGTTGGAGTACTGCAGCACCATCATGATCACCGAGGACACGGACTGGCAGGCTTGACATTCCTGCTCATCGGAGCTGCGACGGGCTGTTTAGGTTTAGAATTAAAATCGTATAAATCGATGTTTATCGATAAGTGTATACGAAAGTCTCGATAAATTTAGATACACGTTCAAAATAAAAACACTTAATTCCTTTCCCGATAAGACAACTTACTTATAGTAAAGGGCAGGATATAGTAGCAAAGAGCGTTGACAATATCTTGGTGCAAAGCTGGCGGTAGAACAGATATAGTAGAGCTGACCAGGTAGGGTAGATTATCGATGAGATCCTTGTCGAGAAATGGGAGGATGCAGCTTAGGCATTGCAAGAGAGCTTTTCCGAAAACTATACAAACGTGCCGATTAAATATAGCAAAGGGCTAACTGGTGTAGGGTATTGTAATCTCACCGATTTGCCCGTACTGGATGCAAGGTGCCACATCTATGAGCATGGTAAGAGCGTTGTATAGGTTGCCATATTCGAGATTGGGATAGGCAGACATGCGAGTGGGATCTTCGAGGGGATCGCGTATAAGCTCGTGCGGCGAGGTGCGCACATCTTTGAGGACAGCTGTGAAAATATAGGACGATTATGGTTAAAATCGACTATATATACTTTAACTCGACTATATACTTACTTAGTAGAGTTTGAGAAAAGTATTTGATATTGTTAGCAATATCTACGCCAGAGGGCGCGGGTAAGACGTTGTGCAATAGACGTACATGGTATTCATGAAGGGCTCTCAATTTTGCCTGAACTGTAAGGGAGAAAAATCGAATCAGGCTCGCTGACAAGTTGAGACTTCTGGGGACCACTCACAGGCGGCAGCACGAGTGCCCATGTTGATGAGTTGCACCTTGAAGCTGCCAGTCATTATATCAGACAAATCCTTCGCATTGCCCAAACTGCTGCCGAGGGACTTCGCATTCTGCAATTAAATATTTTTAGCAAATTTGTAAAAATTTACACTAAGAATGACGTAACACATTCCCTTGGGTGTGCCATCCCAACTTAAACACTTGAAAACAAGTGCTACTTCATAGGTAACTGAGAAGTTTCATATACCATGGATGCTTAGGCAACTATAAATAGTATTCGTAATGAATTTACCTCGAAATTTGTTAGTTTTTTCAAAAGATTTGCAATTTTTTACGGGTTATACAGCAAGCCACGTCCACGAAGAAAAATCTCTATAACTAAACTGAGTTTATGGTGTGTATCTGTGCAAAAGTTCAGCTATCTGTTGGCTGCATTTGGACCAAACCACCGCAAATACAATTATTTATTAAGTATTTACCGAACTTTATAGAGCGGTTATGTGCACACAATGTTTTAAGTATATTATTTTAGTTCAATTTAGTGGTGGTGTATCGAAATTTTTGATAAATGTATGGGAATCTGCGAAAATTAAAGTGGGGGGTTGGGCACTTGACCCACTTTTGCCACCCACCCTGGGCAGCAGCTTCGGAGAACAGCTGCTTCGAAGTAGGACATGCGCATATCGCGTGTTTATCTCAAATTTTCCGCACTTACCGGGCGGTTTCCAACAAGTGTTTGTTTTCGTCTGACCGACGTAAATATTTACCATCTGAAGCCTGTTCCGGAGTATGCGCAGATTGTGCTCGGTGTTTGTAAACAGACCACAGCTGTTTATCCCGGTTACTCGCAAGCAACTGTTGAATATCTGTTGAATAATATTTCCCGGTTTCAGAGGTACATAAACATGTATATAGAAACCACCACTTGATAAAATGTTTTCATACCCAAGGAAAGTTAAAGTGTATATTAAAGATCTTTGCTCTTATATAGTCTTCCTTTTTTTAATAAAGTTAAATGTTTTTTGTTTTGTTAATGTAAAGTAATATTCTATTGTGTTACTGTAAAGTAGAACCGTGCCAATAGTGTAGACAAAATACTATACTTAAAATGCCGAGTCTCAAGATCTGGAAACCATTTATAAGAGCTTAAATTTTGAGATAGATTGTCAGCCAATGAGTACTGATGAAGCTTTGGAATTTAAGCAAAAGGAATTCTTACGATTACGATTTAAGAAGCTAAAAACCCAAAAATAAAATAAATAATTATCACCCTTTCAAGGTAAACCTACCCACAATAAAATTCTCATTACAGCATTTAGCAGATTTGGGGTGTCTCACTATAGGGCTTCCCTGGAAAGTGAAAACCTCGAGGATTGCTTGGGGTTGTCCTGTGCTTGTCTGGCTTATGCGGAACCCTTTAACCCCACTGCTTGTAACTGAGGACACAAAACTCGTTCTGGAACTCGAAGCCCCCGGTGTCCATATTTTAACAACCGATTTAACTGAACTCTGTGAACCCACAGACGGCAAAAAAGGATTGGTTTACTTATCAGGATAAATGAATTAAGGCTTGCCACTAAAATTTAAGGGACTCATGTGATTTGGTCGTCAATTGTCGTCCGAAATTCTTAAAAGCTTTTTTTTCGGTTTTTAGGCAGTGAACTGCATATGCTAAAACAAGTCCTTCAATGTCCTATGGATCGATTTTATCGGAAACTGGCTGATTGGGTGTCGCATCCTGTGGCTCAGCCGCAGCGGGATGAATGTCACGTTTGTATGTGCTTAGAATCTGTTCCTCGGACATATCCCTGGCGTTTTTCTTCTTGGGCGTCTTGGGCTTCGAGCGGTCTGGTTCCGTGTCAATTGGCAGAATGACTTCATCGGTTGCTGGCTGACTGGGTTCCGAATCCTCCGGCTCAGTCGCAAACGAAAGATAGGCACTCTTCATGGGCGTCTTGGGCTTCAAACGCTCTGGCTTCAGGTCGATTGGCAGATTAACTTCTTCGGATGTTTGCGGATTGGGTTCTGGATCCTCCGGCTTAGCCCCAAACGAAAGATATCCACTTTTCATGGACGTGTTAGCAGTCACACGCTCTGGCTCAGGCAGGTTTTGCTCCTGGCTTTCACCAAGAGGTGGTTCTTCTAAGTCCTTTGCCGACTGGTTCTCCGGATCGATTTGCACCTGCTGCAGTTCCTCAGGCTCGTTTCCGGCACACGTCTCCTTGTTAGGGGTTTCGTCATTGGGCTGGCTCTTCTGACGGGGGAACAACCGTTTCCAGAAGCTCATTTTGGTCTTTGTGATGCGCAACGGCATGTTCTGCGGGACCGGATTTGCCATGGAGGTTGACTGATCGCGATTATTTATAAAGGACAATGTTCTATCTGTAAAAGTCAAATGTTCAATGATCAACACTTAGTAGTTCCAAGAATGCCCCATGGTTTAGGATTAAAGCGGTCACCCGAATCCGGTCAACCGAAGAATCTCTTACCCGTGAGAGGCGCAGGCGCTTTCTTTCGTGAAAATATATTAGGTAATGTGTTGGCCTCATTCTCGCCATCGAAGGAAACTGCGCTCCCTTTTTTCTTGTAGGGAAGCATAAGCGGCTTTTTGCCGATCTTAAAGAAGCGCTTCAGAAAACTAAGCCTGGACTCGGCCGACGAATTGGTGAGATGCGATTCATTCCGCTGAGTTTCCACTGGTACACCCTGCAGTTGGGCAAGTGCTGTATTCTGCAGATTGGGCATGTTCCTTTACTATGCCCACATAAATGTGTTTGGATCTTTCAAACTAAATTTTGAATATTATATAATATGCCTTTGATGTTTAGCCGAGTTATAAAATGCTGTGGCGGGTAAAACCATAGCCTACTACAGGCGATCAGATCTCGATCTTTGATTGCATCTCTTATATGTATTTCAATCTTTCTTTCTAATTTTGATTTCAATACGCGTTTTATTTTCTGTTTTTAATAAACTGAACCGTGTGTGCATCTCTTTCTGTGTGTAAGTTGTGTGTGGCAATTTGGCGACGTTCTGTTAACATGTGTTAACAGCGACATCGAAACAGGTTTCAATTGATACGATTCTGATTTCACTGGCTCCCGCCTGCTCCAGAGCTCCCTCCCCCTGTCCCTGCACTCAAACTGCTTCCTCGGTCAGGACAAAGCCAATCGAAGCCTGCTGCAGTCCCAGAAAAAACTGAAAAAGCTGAAGCCAAAGGCAATTCATTCAATATGTGCACACAACACAATACCCCTTGTTATGCTGCCTGCTGTCCATTGTTTCAAATGTTCGATATCCGTTGTCGGTTGTCCAGTAGTGCGGCAGTCCGTTTGCCTCTGAGCTCGGGGCCCACCAACAAAGTGGTTTTGAAAATCAATTGAGGAACTGGTAGCGATTCCTGCTGTCGACACTGCGCCATCCCATTCCCGAGCACAGTGGTCCGTTAATTTATGTAGTTATGTATTGCCCGTTGCCAGGATACCCGAAACAATGCACAATTGCTGGAGCAGTAGCAGCACTGCAGCAGCTTTGTCCGGTGTTGAAGGTGTTGAAATTGTGAAGAGTACAGAGTGCTAAACTCAAGAGCAACCATACTTCGAGTCAAAAGTTAAAAATTTCGACTTTTATTTTTCAGAGAACTATATACAGGTAACGTACATATATGTACATATGTGAAACGTATTCCGAAAGGTTCGAGGAGGTTTTTAAAAGCTTAGTTAGTCCTCCTAAGTGCAGATACATAGATGTTTAGACATCGATTGTCGATATTGCTTCTTAAATTTCTCATCATACATTGTTTTTAAAAATGTATCAAAAAATTCCTTGTTAAAGTTGTAATGTAATACTGTCATCAGACCCCTTTAAATTCTACCTCCTGTTCCCCTCTGGTGTTTCGGAAAAAGCTTATGGAAAGTCTCCCTCGCGCGGATTACAAAGGAACATCAATAAATCATCAACAATAAAACCATAAGGGAAATGAACAAGGATATTGCAAGGGCAATCCTTTTGCCAGCCAACAGCTGCTCCACCCTCACTCCTTCGAAAAGTGTGAAATTGTTAACGTCAACGGGGAGTTGTCTCCGCCAGTCATTATTCTCGCCCATCTGCGGGGTGGGCGCCACATAATGGCCAAAACGGAAATGTTGTTCGCAGCCAATTCATGGCCAACACACAACATAAACACCCCCTGTAGGCACACACACTCACAGAATGGTGGTGGGGCAGTGGGAACAATGGCATCGGCGGAATCAGCAGAAGCTGCAGCTCCAGCCGCAAAATGTGTTGCCACAACCCTCGGGGCAGTGAATCAGGAGCTGAAGCTGGAGCAGGAGCAGCAGGGTCTGCGACTGCAGCTCGAGTTGGAGCCGGAGTCGGGAGCTGCCGAGGGAAACTCATAAGTCGGTCTGGCAGACAAATCTTCGGGGCCACTGCATTCATTCATTGGTAATAACAATCAAACTGCCGTTGGCAGTAGCAGTACACAGAACATAAAAATGTGCATTATGAAGATTAAGTGAATTAAATTTTGATGCTGTAAATGTCTTCTTATTTAAAGTAATCTATTTAGCTAGTTTGAAGTTGTTAAACTGTTGTTTATCTTGTAACCATGTATTTAAATCGAAATTGTAACAAATAGTTGTAAGCATCTCCGATCCAAGCTAGATTATATAAAGTTTAAGTACTATTGAATGATCGATCAGCAAGGAAGTTAAGAGGAAATCAACGAACTATCTCGCGTGCACTCGACTCAGACGTTTGTGGGTTTTAGTCCAGATTGGTGCAACAAAAACAAACCAAATTGAAATTTACTATAATTGTTTTTATATTTTTTAAGTCGCTTGCTGATAAAGGCTTGGATATAGTGTCTTGGTAATTGACTTTAAAATTGACTTACTATATTTTGGATACCAGTTAAAATTGAGTTTTTAAGTCAGTTCATTTTCCGTGTAGTAGACTCTTTCATCTCTTGTCGCGCATTTGCAATGCCATTCAACTTGTTTACCAACAATAGCAGCACGCAACACCAACAGCAACAGCAAGAGCAATGTGCAAGGGCAACCGCAAACAATTCCCTGCTGTTGACTTTAATATTTCGGTCTCCGTTTATTACAATCCCCCCCTTAGGAAAAACGTCATAGATACCGGGAAATACGCGTTCTATGTGGGAAAGGTAAACCTTAACCAGTCACTCGGGGGAATCCGATAAAGGAGCCATAAATTCTAGAGCTCTCCCTTCCACAAGTTCAATTTGGCACTGCCGTTCGGTTTTATAGATTTACAATATTTACATAGTTGCCGCAGATAACTGATAGCTCAGCGATAAAGAGTTCAATCGCATCGGTTTATTGGCCAGGCACCACGTTTGTCTCTCCGCCTGTGAACAAATAGTATTGTGTAATGATAATAATAATCCAGGCCTGAGCGGGGTTGAGTGTGCTCTGTGTGTGTGCTATCATTGTTTAAATAGTTTTACGATTTCTCACTTTCACTTTTCAACGAACCTGAGATAGATGTACATTACTTGTACGGGGTCCTTGGGCCAGAGAATCTTCCACCAATAAGACACAACATGGCCGTGGAGTCCGTTAAACATGCAGGTCTCCATAAATCGGAACTGTCGCAGGCGCCACTCCTCTCTCGCTGGATATCGGCCAGATATCGACTGATGGCTATCAAAGGCGCCAGCGTCGGCCAACCAGAATGTCAACAGTTTAATAAATAAAATCAGTCGGCTTGCCAGAGCCAGATGCGATGCCAGTTGCCCAGGCGCGCGACTGCAATTAAAAGCAAAAAAGGCATTGCAAAGGGGCACGTCGAAGCTTAGATCGACGGGGATCATTCCCAGATGCACAGCGAGAATTCTTGAGGGGGTTTTTGGGAAAAAGTCTAAAAAAAAAGTAACTAGACTACCATAGAACAGTTAATAAATAGTGAATTTAGATTGTACTTAACCTTACAGCTATTATTCTAAGCTTTTAAAAATTGTTAAAATCAGATTCCTGCTTCTTGGATTCGAATTTAAATAGAATTTTAAAAACACTAAAATGTTCTTAGTTTGAGGTTATTAAAGCGGGATATTATTATATCTCTATTTCTGTTCATTTTCTTATTATATTTATTTACAAAGACAAAAAGTCTATGATTATTTCTCTCTGTGCGCCAGGGGCTACGATGCTGCTGATTCCGTCTCCGCTGTCGTCGTGTGCGACAGGAGCTGATTGTCGCTGGTCGCAGATCAGAATCAACAGCGGCATCGAAATCAGCGTCGACACATGCGATATTTGAGCCTCGGCTGAGAATTATGATCGATTTATTATGCGACAACGAACGACGGCAACACAAGCGGCAGCGGCAACGGCAACAGAAACATGGCCAAGTGGCTGCGACAGGTTTTGGCCCCAGCTTCGGGTTCTTGGCTCACAGAATATGCGCAGACATTGATTTTCGCCAAGTAATGAGGCAACTCATTAATCATTTTTTCGTTGCGCACTGGCTGGGGGATTATGTTGCCGTTGCCGCTGCCATTGGCATCGCTGTATGTAGTGGCGCATTGGCAACAGTTGCTGCCCCTGACGGAATGCTGGCAACATGTTGAGCTTGCAGCTGCAGCATCCTGGCTGGCTCACTGTCTGCCGTCTCCTCTTGTTCTCTGCCTGATTTTGTTAACCTTTTGACCATTTCAAGTTATTTTTGTATGCTTTACTGCCAATTTGGTGGTCATTGGCCATTCACTTGACTTGCGCCTGTTGCCTGCTGCCTGTTGCCTGTTGCCTGCTGCCTGTCCGATGTCTGTTGGCTGTCTGTTGCTGTAGCTGTAGCTCTTGGCACACAACGCACCATGTCTAACAGTTTGGCCGATTGCCCTGTCCCGACTCCCATCCCCATCCCACCTCCTCCTCGTGTCCCTGATGTCCCTGCTGCCTTGATATTGCTCTTGAGCTTGCTCATGTTGCTGCTGATGTAGCTGCTGCCGTGGCTGTTGTTGTTGTTGTTGTTGTTGTCATGCGTCGCCATCGTCTTGGTCGCGGTCATCTCCTGGGTTGTGGCTCATCCACTGACTGATGCGGTCTGGTAAGTCGACTGGATGCTCTACACCTGCAGCTAAAGGAGAATTGGATAAAAGTTTGAGAACATTTATTTTTTTAAGAATTACTAAACAAGCTTTTAGGTTTCTCTCTGTCTAGAATAATACAAATTATAAATTTTAGTTAATAATATAAGCCAAAAATCTGAATAGGGAACAGTTCCTATTCACAGGATTAAGGCAGGCTGTAGGGGATTGCCTGGGTGGAGCCATCGCCATTTACCTGCACTTGTCGCACGCAGTTGGCCAAGTTTGTAAATGCCTGTCGTTGCGGTCGTTTGGGGGCCATTAGCCTTCGCCTTCGGCTGAGGCTTCGTTTTCGGGTTAGCCGCACGCACAAATGCCGAAATTCTGGCAAAATTTCTTCATTTCGGCGAACGAACTTTCGGCTCTCGCAGTTGTTGGTCATTATTTATAGTTTTTGATGTATTCAATTTATTATGCGGATGGTTAGAAAGTTGCTAAATACTTGATGTACGACTCTAACATATTGGAGGTAATATTTCTCCGCCGGAGACGGAGCAAGTTCGAGGGTAAAACAGCCAGATGCAGATGAGTTTATTAGCCATGCATGAGTTTTCTGGACTCCCAGAAGGAAACATTCAATTATCGGGAAATTTACGATTTTCTCACGATCAGGTGATTTATGGCGCGTCCATCGAGTGGAAATTCGTCTGCATAATTCCAATCCGTAAATCGATCCGTTCGCTATCAAAGTGCGCTTAAAGTTCATCACACTTCTGAGGGCAATTAATTACTTAAGCTGGCTAAAAACTCACCC